ATCTGGAGACGCCTATTGAGTTAATTATTGACCAAATTATTATTAGACTAATGTGTTTAGGTTATCATAAATGATAAAAAGAGAGGACTGTTATGGAAATAATTGTCATAGACGCCAAGATGTAACATACAGGACAAACCTTGATGTCTGTTTACCTTCTTTAAGGACACAGGCTGCTTAGCCAATAATGTTATTGTTCCCATTCTGTGACCGGTCAATACTGGGTCACAGATGGTCTGTGTTGTGGGTACACTGGGACACTTCCTTCTCTGTATTTGTGGACTCCAAGGTGAAATCTTCGAGGTCATAAGTGTCCGACGCAAGTAGCTCAGTGTTCCCACACTGTTTAGGCTATCTTCTCAAATATGTTGTTTACTCTCTGCGAAACCAGTTGGATGGGCTGGCAAGAGAGAGGCTCTCCAGAATTGACGTGGCAACTCTACCGTGAAGTCAGAACCTCTGACTCTTGGACTTGTGATGTGAATCCTCCGGCCATTAACTCCAAATAAACCATCATGTGTTTGACATCAAAGCTACTGCTCTTCCCGTGTCTCCTTCCTGAGTCGGTGACTCCCACTGCATAGCTACACAGAAGTTTCCTCTACAGTCATGATGAAGAATATGTTTCTCTGTTGTCCACGTTCATAAAGCATAAAACAACAGCATCAGAGCACGGTGCAGAGTCTCTAGATGAGTTTACAGTAGTCCCTCGTTCTTATTGAACATCCATGTTGTAGTCTGCTGTAGAAAACTGTAGTTTCCATAGTTTCCCCACAGCAGTAGACGCACACTCATGACGTCCGCTGGCGCATCATAAACACGTCGGATAGTGAAAGTGCATTCGGATTCTCTAAGCACCGCAGTCTCTTCTCCTAAGTCCTTTTGAATTCTCCTATCCACTATCCCTTAACCCCGTGACGTTTCACTCAGAGGTCAAGGAATAGGAGATAGGGTTCGAATTTAGGAGCTAATTTTGGATTATCGGAACGCAACCCGGGATACAGCGTGGGAGGCGGGGCCACATTAATTCCTATGAGAGCTGCTCATTAGCGCATGATGACAAAATGGCCCAACTTTTGAGAGAGCGAAACGTCACAGATTACCCGGCATGCCTGAGAAGTACCCGTATGTGCGCTCATAGCGCATGCGCAACTTTAACCACGCCGCCCAAAAGGCTCGTTCACATTAAGCACGTGAATTTGCGTACACGTAACAGCACCGCGCGTTCATGACAGCATGGTACTGGATTTATATTAACGAGGCGGCAGTTAGCAGCTAGCGGCTAGCTAGTAAATGATGCTAACTTACACATCAATCGTTATGTACTTTTATATTACGCTGACATCAGGATCTAGTGATATCCAAGCAACAGAGCTTCATTTAGCATGATACTTGTGTGGGTTGTACATGAAACCACTTGGTAATATATACAAATGTATATGTTGAAGCCTGTTATGATCAATTGTGAGTTAAAACTTTATCTAAAAAGTAAAGCTGACGGTGGATTACTGTGGTGGAGTTAAAATAACAATAGCCTATTTCTTTTTGAAATGTGATGGAGTAAAAGGATAGTAACTGTGATTATTCATGTTAAGTAGCCCACAAGTAACTAAAACGTATAATACTTGAAGGAAAGGTGTAAAATGTTCTCATAAATACCAATATCACAGTACAACACCCCTTAAATACCAACCATGTGTATATATATATATATATATATATATATAAATATGCCGCTAAAACTGTGTAATATACCAGGCTGCTAAATCCTCCAAACTGTTACAGGATGTGTATTTTGTGAAATGTGTATTTGTTTTTAATTATAATTTCTTGTTTTGAATCTTTAATACTTTTTGTATGCATACTTTAAGTAACATTAGGCTGTCTTTGGCTCTTTTCTGCTGTAACAATGTAAATGTATTCTGATCTAATTGATGTTTTTGTCAGTTTGTTTCCCTATATTGCGACACTTATTTGGTTTAAGATTATTTCTCCTTTTTTTAGACATCCCCAACCATAGTGGAATGCTGTTGTAAAGGATTGCATTGATCCGTGCATCAATACCTTCACCCAGCTTTGAGGCCTCCAATGAATGAACATCATCTTGTGGCTGGGAAAAATGTGAACAAATGAATCTCACAAAGAGTGATTTTTTGGTGTAATCATTATAATATCAAAGACAAGCACTTTAAGTAACAATATATAAAATCATTCAGCAGCAGAGGATGGGGTGGAAACATCATTTCTAACTAAGATGATTACAATATTACAAGTTAAACATCAAGATGAACATACTATTATTAATTAAAAAAGTACATGGGAGACTTAAATATCCTGCAATATACCATTAGCAGAATAGGAACAAATGTGCCAAAACATTTCTAAAATAAACATAAACTGAGGGCTTTCTTCCTGAGCCGCTGGGAGTAAAGATCCTCCATGGATGGCAGCTCCGCCCTGGTGATGTTCTGTGCAGTTTTCACCATCCTTTGGAAAGCCTTACGATTGAGGGCGGTGCAGCTGCCGTAACAGGCCGTGATGCAGCCGTGTCCGTGATGGACACTGAGGAACCTGAAGCTGCTGACTCTCTACCGTAGTCCCATTGATGGCGATGGGGGGCGTGTCCCTCTCTTTGCTGCTTCCTGCAATCCACAATCAGCTCCTTGGTTTTGCTGATGTTGAGATGGAGGTTGTTATCCTGGCACCAAGATGTCAGGTTTTCGACCTCCTCTCTGTACGCCGTCTCGTCGCCGTCTGTGATCTGGCCGATGACGGTTGTCTGTTACGATCTCAGGCACTTAGGATGTTGGACTCAATTGCAGACAGGGAGACAGAGGTAAAGTATTGGTAAGATACTTTATTTTTCCAAGAAAACACGATGAACAATAAAAGGTCACTAACTAATCTCAGGATGAGATGACAAAAAATGAGACCAAAAGGAAAATCGCTCACGTAGTGAGGAACAAAACTATTCTTGAGCATAAAAGAGCATATACCTGAACATTAGTGATGTTACGTATTGCGCCGAGGCTTCGGATCGTGTGTCGAGTAATCCCAGAAGCTTTTTGTGAAGCCTGTATCGAGGCTTGTATCGTTTTGGGCCAGTGACGTCATCGATGACAAACGAAGCCTCGCTGCCTGTCAATACCACGTGACTGCTTCAGGAAGCGATTCAGATCGGTTGAACCGTTGAACCACAACGCTCATAATACCCATGGATGTATAATAAGAACCATATTACCCCTCCTGTACCCGGGCCCGGTGACACGATGGAATCAAGAGAGCTCAGACCCTCACTTATATAGAGGTCGGAACATGTCATAAGTATAAATAGATACAAGCATAAATAAATATAGGAATAAAAACATCAATAAATACAGGAATACATATCTTACAGTGTTTTCAAGGAGATTCAGCGTGTGTGCTGTGGCTCAGCTGGAAAGCAGTTGACTCATGACCGCAGGGTCCCTGGTTCAACGACTGAACAATACGTATTTTTTGTTGTTTATAAAAGCTACAGCTACATGAGATAATGTAGTTAATAAATGTATTCTTTGATATGGTTTAGCCTTTCTCAGGCTACAACATGGTTAAGTTTACGAATATTATTAAGGAATACAAATCCCTCTTTGCAATGTTTAGCAGCCTCCTTAGGATTTTCAATCACAATCATTAAACTGTAATAAATACAATATTGTTAACATGAAAATATGATTTAATGTTCGTTGTTTAGAGGTATTCTAAGGCTTTACTCAATGGGAACTCGGTATGAGATAGAGCACACTGTTGAGATGTCCAATCTGCCTGTTTTACACACTTTGACCAACAGGGGGGTTTGTGTTCAAATGAAGCCCATGATGAAGCCTCATGAGATGAACCCTTTTGCGAACCAATTGGTGGAATGGTGGAAAGCTTCAAAGCTTCATAAGGCTTCATCTCGCCATCACTACTGACCATGGCAAGAGACAATACAAACTGACACTGAACACTGGGAGACAGGGGAATTTAAACACAGGGGTAACACAGGTGGGAACAATCAGGGGCGGGGCTGACACTGATGAGCACAGGAGACACACAAGGAGTGACAGGTGAAAACAATCAGGAAATTAGACACACCAGGGAAACTAACGACAGACATGAAAACACAGGGAAAAGAGACCAGACAATATACAGGGAGGAAAACATGACAAGGAGAACGGAAAAACACCCACACCTAGACATAGACACGTGACATGACATAATAATCCTGACATTGTGTCGTCAGCACGTAGGCCCATACCAGTGTCTTGAAGTGGCTGTGCTTCCTCCTGGGCAGCATCCAAAATGGAGAAGAAAGAGAACAGACACACCACAGCTGGGTGAGGCTGGGGAAGATGAGTGAGGGAAAGAGAGAAACAAAACAGGGGGACTAAGATGAGTGAGGGAAAGAGAGAAAAAGACAAGGGGACTAAGATGAGTGAAGGAAAGAGAAGGGGACTAAAGTTTAAGAGAGAGGAAGAACACAGAATGTGAGCGAACAATTTAATTAAATTACACATTTAAAAAAAATAGTGTGAGTAAGTGAAGACATCCTTACAAGGAGGACTGCCCTGTCAAATTTAAAAGTTATTCTTGTAAATATACATATCCTGTTGAGGCTAGAATCCAAAATGCAGAACCACTTTAGATTGTAGCCTCAAGGGACTGTTTAAGGTTACTTAAAAACATATCATTTCCCAAATTGGTGAAATGAACTCCATCTCTTAGAAATATGCCATGGCAGTCAAACTTAATGCAAGGATGCCTTACACTCTCTCCACCCAAACCACTAACACATTTACCCATCTCTCTGTTCACCCACATTCTGTCCTTGTTCAGCTTTCCCGGATTGGCTTTCCTCCAGTGACATCTCTCATTGATAGAAGATAGAATTATCTTCATCTCTGAGAAGTTGTCACTGAGGGAAAGCAGGTCCTGCTTCATCGCTGTGACAAGCTCCACACCTTTGATGTTGCCAAGGTCATTGCCGCCACAGTGGATGAGCAGGACATCCGGGACTGTTCTTCCTCTCAAGGACTAATAGAAAAAGGGAAGAAGGTTCCTCCACCTCAGACCACCCTTGCCAAACCACCACACACGGCAATTGACACCCAGGTTGCTTCCCATGGTGTGTCTGGCTCTTTCTTCCCCACGTCTAACGTAGCTGCTCCCTATTATCCACACATTGGGACCTAGATAGAATAAAATATATTGAAAAAGGAAAAAAAAGTGTTTACTGGTGATCATCTTTTAGAAAAAGGCGGTACATGTAGCCTGAGTTGTCATATCATTTTCATCATATTTTTAAGACTACACAAGTTTAATTTGTATATTATATTACATATAACTCTATATTTGTATATAGAATCATGATGAAACTTTATAAGGATTAAGATTATATATTAATATTACATTAAATAATGCATGACGATTTCATGCATTATTACGAAGCAGGATGTATCAAGTCACTGACTTTTTGTGATAAGGTCACAATCAACTGATTTCACTTATCAGATGTAAAAATAAGGTACAATATATTTGTTTTTGCCATATGAAAGTAAAGGGTATGCAATCAAAAAATTACTGAAACAAAATGAATAAAAATTCGAGAGACAGCAAGCGCATTTCGTGGCATCTGCAGGCAGTGGCAAGTCCTTCCGGCATATGCCACAGAGGCCGCTACTCTGTGGTAGCTGTGGCAAGTCCTTCCAGCATATGCCACAGAGGCTGCTACTCTGTGGTAGCTGTGGCAAGTCCTTCCGGCATATGCCACAGAGGCCGCTACTCTGTGGTAGCTGTGGCAAGTCCTTCCAGCATATGCCACAGATGCCACAACTTGCCGAGGCATCTGCCGCTGCTCAACAGGAGTTGCCACAAGATGCCAGAGTAAGAGAAGGTTTACGGTAGCTGCCACTCGCCTTCCGTGGCAAATGCTGCTATTTAAACCCGTATTTATCGTGTAAAATGTCGCTGTTTTGGCATGACTTTATCGAACTGATCTGTACACAGGACTGATGATGGTCCGATCTCTATTTTTTTTAAACATTATAATTTCTATTCAATTTTACTTGGAGCATGGTTTGCTAAAATAAACAAACGTGCTATATTTATGATGAAATATTGGCGAGTGAGGGTTGCAACGCCCTTGGCAATTTTCGCTTCTTGAGGGGAGTTTCCACTGCTTGCTACGATAAACCAGGTGTATGACTAGTAAAGACAAATAATTAACAAATAAATATCTGTATTGACACAGCAACGTGTACACTGGTCTTATTAGACTTGGCTACAGACTTAGGGCAGCTGTAACTGATTGCAGTTGCCACTGCTAGTGAGATGCTAAGGTTTACTTTATAAATTAGGCAAAGGACTTATATTTGCCCCATGCCTTCAGCAGCAGCAGGCCATTCACTTTGATTTGATCCAGTTATGAAATGTCATCATTTCGACAATAAAGAAATGCTACATAAACGTTATCTTGCACGTTTTATCGAACCATCTCCATTTCTAACTTTCAATATATTTAAAAAGAGATCTCTCTCTCATCTCTCATACATTTTGTGAGGAAACTTTTCCACCAATAATTCCAATAAGTATTCCAAAATGTATTCACTTCAGGTTTACGAAAGTAACTGTATTCGGATTAGTTGTTTTTCCAAATGTAACGCGAGCTGAATACAGTTAGGCTACTTGGTTTTTGTATTCTGATTACGTAACGCCGTTACATGTATTCAGTTACAACCCAACCCTGTGCACAGATCATCAGTCCTGTGTACAGATCAGTTCGATAAAGTCATGCCAAAACAGCGACATTTTACACGATAAATACAGGATTTAAATAGCAGCATTTGCCACGGAAGGCGAGTGGCAGCTACCGTAAACGTTCTCTTACTCTGGCATCTTGTGGCAACTCCCGTTGAGCAGCGGCAGATGCCTCGGCAAGTTGTGGCATCTGTGGCATATGCCGGAAGTACTTGCCACAGCTACCACAGAGTAGTGGCCTCTGTGGCATATGCAGGAAGGACTTGCCACTGCCTGCAGATGCCACGAAATGAGCCAGGCCCTACTGAAAAATTCTTATAAAAACTATACAGCACCTTGTCCAAGTATGGCGGGAGGCCCACTTTCCTTCAGGATTTCCTCTCTGGATGTCGATCCGGCTATTTCTGCCATCTATAAATAAAGTACAAATGATTAGCTCTTCACGCCTCTTTAAAATAATATGTGTTCTTGAAGATTCTGTATGCATCGTCGTTTACAATGGTAGGGACATTGCATTGGAAATTAGTTGTGAAAAAGACATGTCATTTTTAGTTTTTTCATCTCACATTTATAGATTTTAAATACAAATATATATATATATAAAACGAATTATAAATGCAAGGCTGGTTTCTAGAAAGTTAGCTAATGCATACAGAGTTAACATTGCAGAACTGCTGGCATGCATACATTTCTAGCATTTTGGTTAACTATGAAAAGTATGGAAAATTACTGTGCAAACACCCAACATTAGCTTAGCCACAGTAGCGGTTGCTGATGAGTGGTTTGGCTTATTTTACTGTTTTATATGAGAACATGTTACATTACATACAGACATTAAGGAGGCAGGTTAGAAAATAAATATGTTTTCGTCTCTTACCTTTTGGAGCAAACTGTTGTCGGTTGTTAGCATAGACTGTCTGTATATATAAAGCGTTGTCTCTTTAGCCTCAGTGACGTGACAGTGAACACTGAACGTGACCGCGTGTGAAGGGGGAGGGGCGCGGGGGATTTAGGTCTGGGCTGCGCTAAATTCAGCCTCTCTTTCCAACATCTCCTGTGGCGGCAATCCACATTCTATACTATTCTATATATGTATGAGCTCTGTATGTGTTTTCTTTTCCTTATGACTGTTGTAAGTAAACTTTTTTATTCTATACTTCCTTCTGTATGAGCTCTGTATGTGTTTTCTTTTCCTTATGACTGTTGTAAGTTAACTTATTTATTCTATATCTTCTTCTATATTTGTATTTGAATGTATGTCACAGTCCTCTGTTTATTTATTGTTAAGCAACGCAACACATGGTTTTCAACAGTGGAACGATTTATGTGAATGTCAACAGCAACATCCCAAGCTTCTTTCTAGCCAATATTCATTATGTTGTATTTGTACCTTCAACTGTAACTGAAAGTTCAATTTGGTGTATTTTGTTTGCAAGTCTGTGTTCAACATACTACTTGGAGTACGCTTAACGCGGCACAAGTCTGAACTGAACATGGACACGCAAAATTCTAAACATGTATTTTTTCATATCTGATACCAAATCTTGCAGCAATATTGCCACACTGGAGATGTATATTAGTTATTTAGAGTTTAGTGTTCACAATGTGTTAAATGTATTCAATGTGTTAAATGTATTCAATGTGTTAAATGTATTCAAAGTATTCAATGTGTTAAATGTATTCAATGTGTTAAATGTATTCATTGTATTAAAATAACTATCCAAACATTTGATATGTAAGTTATTTATATGTATGTAAGTGTTGTCTCGTGTGTATGTACTGTTTGTGATCGTTGTTGTGTCCTCACTCGTGGCCTGCACCTTGACGTGGTGAGTGGGCTTTAAACTAAGACAGGCCATTTATGTTTGAAATATCATGCTAACAAACCTGCAATTACAGAATTGAAAGATAGTGGTTATATATGTTCATGTATTGCTGACATTATTACAATTTTTAAAATGGTTCTCCTCTCCTGCAGTAAGCTGTGATTCCAGGTGTTCATGCTGCCGCCCGCCTCCCCCCCATCCACCTCCTTTCATCATATCCAGTACCAGGAGAGCTAATCCAAAGACCTCATCACACCTCCTCTTCATCCCATCTCCTCATCAAATCCAGATCTTCAGCATCATCATCACCAGTGTCTAGACCCCGGGGGTTTCCCTATATGCTCACGGCTGCATTTCCCCTCTTAGATATACGATTTCAGGATCGGGGTCTAATCGCCAAAGACTTAACATTTATCATATGACATGTGTCAATAAATGTTCTTTAAACAAAATGAAGTCTCTCCTGATTGAACTGTCTGGACCCCATCCTCAACTTTTTTCAAACCATAACATGCCTTCAGAGGGCTTTCCTGTTGATAATGTTTGGTGGATTTTTTAATAGAATAATTGTAATCAATATTATATTACCTTTTAATCTATATCAATTGTATTAACATTTTTTGTCACTATTTTGTTCACCTTGTTCTACTATGCCAGCCATCAGAGGTATACATTTGTTAACATCTCTTTTAGGTTTCATTTCTTATATTTGTGAATTTCTATATAAAATGCTAATTTCTACCTGAAATGCTTATGTATTTTTAATTACATTTTCGTAAAGCTTTCACTTTTTCAGCGGAATAAATATTATAACTGGTTTTGTTCAGCATTGCCAGCTTCACTGTTGAGCGTGATGTTGTGCCCAGCACTCTCCTGTCCTGTGCTCTGAAATCAAAATGTGGATAAGAATAAAACAACACTAAAATAAACACTACAATACAACTTGTAAAACTTTTGAAAAAACACAAGGTTGTTCATTTGTGTGTATACATATACAACACAGGCAATATACAATTATAATTAATACAACTGTTAATTTGATTAGAGCTTTGACACATATCTTTATTGATATATGTATAAATATGACGACTTAATATATAGTCGGCCTAATAGCAAACAGCTACGTTCAACTCTTTTAATGGTATATTGCAAGTGCAATAAGAAGCTACAGGAACGTTAATCTACGTCGGTAATATTGTAACATTCCCAAGATGAGTCGGAGACAGGCTTGTAGTTATTAGGCTTTAATAACTCGTATTTGAAGACAAATGATAACAGGTCAAGTACACTTCGTGGGTTCTACCGCACACTCACTTATTTCCTAAACCAACCACAAGATATAGCACTGTCCACGTCACAACTCCCCGCCCTCCCCCGTCCGCTCCACCAACCACAGGCCCGCACCTCAGCCACCACCACGGTGCAGCTCTATGATTGGCAGAGAGACGGGGGATGCCTAAGTGACACCCTGAGTAGCCTATCAGGATCGCTACAATATTATTAACTTTATTTAATACAACATTTACGGTACAAGATTTACATCATAGCCTACAGCCCATGTAGTATATTATTTTACAAATAATGAATTACAGCAAACATGTGCAATATATCCATTATTACAGCTCCGTGGGCTGGCAGTAAGGCGATATGGTCCGTTGTTATTGTGCATCCATGGGTAAAGATAAACGCATGTAGTGCTGAACACGTCACATCACATGAACGTGCCGGGCAGCGCGGTCCCATGGGTTAGATGCGCGTTCATAATGCCGAGGAAAAATAACTCTCAGAATAACGTTATTAGCACATTTCTACAACTTGAGGAACGAATGTTTTTAATAAGGGCTATACAAGTGTGCATACTGGGTTGTTTATTTAGTTTTAAAAAAAATTATCCAACGAGTTACAGACCACTCTTTCCCCATGTAAGTCAATGGGAAAAAGTGTTTCCGGGCCCAGCAACCAAACGGAAGTGTAGTACGGCCGTTTGGCCACTACGAATATTCTCATCAGACTCCGGCGCACTTCCTGGGGGCTTGGGACTGCTGCTTTGGGGAAACTACAGTTTTTTTTATAGCGGACTACAACATGGATGTTTAATAAGAACGAGGGACTACTGTAAACTCATCTAGAGACTCTGCACCGTGCTCTGATGCTGTTTTTATGCTTTATGAACGTGGACAACAGAGAAACATATTCTTCATGACCAAAGTTGGAATTGAAATAAAAAAGGAAAGTGAAACTTATGCTCGTCGTCACCCTCTCCCTCCGGTCCACATTAATACAAATGATCCCAATACGTATGATTGTATGAACTATGAAAATATCTTAAAATCAATACAAATGTATTTATTATAAACGTTAGTCCTTAACATCTATCACTGTGTATATCACCATTCAAACATCTTTTAAAAGTTAAACAAACCCCCCACAGCTCAGTAAAGACTGAAATGTTGACTTTATTTGATAATTTCAGTAAAAACTAACGTTCATATTTATCTTTTTGATTATAATACTGATGAACGTTCAGAAAAAAGCACTTTGGCACTTACCACATACGTTTTAAAATGCTTAATAAGCACCGTAACTTTCATGATATCATTTCTCGGTCATAATCGGTTGTTTCCCCAGCGCGTGCACTACGCTCTGCATCAGCCAAACGACTCGTTGCGCCCTCGCTGCGAGGGGGACCCAAGTTCCCATCGGCGAAAACACGTGGGTTTGCTGTCCTGGCTCCAAGATGGTGGAATGAGCTCCCCATTGACATCAGGACGGCAGATAGCTTGCACATCTTCCGGCGCAAACTGAAAACTCATCTCTTTCGACTCCACTTCGAGCGTTAGAACTATTAACGAAGCACTTTTATACTAATAAAGGACTGGCTTATCTATAGCACTTGAAATGTTTGGCTCTATGAAACCTGATGTACTTATATGATTCTGTTTTCTTCAAGGTTGTGTCTTCCTGGTCGAATGTACTTATTGTAAGTCGCTTTGGATAAAAGCGTCAGCTAAATGCAATGTAATGTAATGTTTCCGTGAACGGCCGACTGTTGTGATGGCAAATGCTGCGGCTGCAAGGCATTGTGGGGCAGCATTTTCTCCTCTCCTTTCGGTTAGGGAGGTCCAGTGGTTCCTAAGCTAAAGGAGGTTATAAAGGAAGTTTGAAACCTCCTTTCCTTTCATTTGGAGAATTGGAACGGCACTTATCATGACTGCCAGTGACGTACTTCCGGGTCATTTCACTCCGTCAGGAAGGTTCCTAAGCTAAATGGACTATTGGAATGCAACCCCGGTTTCTCCAAAAGTACCTACCCCACCTTTAATATATGTGCAAATAATAATCATAATGTAAACAAAATAGTCCAATACAAAAAAAAGCAATGCAATATGCTTTACAAAAGGCTAAATAACAAATAAAAAGACACATTACCAGAAGTTTACATATTGCAATTTGGCTTTTCTACATTCATGCAACACTTCGTCTGATGTGTGTGTGTAAACTAGCTTTATTAGAGCGCCATCTCGTGGTTCACTAGCAGAGGTGCAATGAGTAAATGTGTCCGAAACTGAATTTCATCAGCTTCAATATAACGGTGTTTCCCTCAGAGGAGCAGCAGCGCCCTCTAGGAGGCGGAGCGCTGGCCTTGGTGCTGACATCCCTCCGTCCATCACACAGGCTGCTGCTTACAGGGCCAATACTCATCTCACATGGAGTATTAAACAGAGACGCAATGATACATGAATCAAACTGATGAATGAGGAGATGAATTGACCCCCAACTGGTTCTGTGTCTCACATGTTTTTGACCGAAATAGCCTATCATGATCATTTCTCTTCCATGAAGTCATCATCATGATTCCTCAGTTAAAACCTATTGCATATATGCACAAATAAATCAACAGATCAGATTCAATGTTTAATAAATCTTCATAATCGAACACTTTAATTTTGAAAGGACTGCAAGATATAGGGATATATGGAGTTTTACAAGGAGATAACACGATTGGAGGCATCCTTTCACACGTGCATTTGGTCAATGGGAGAGTGTAGCATATTGAAAATAATGTTTTTATATAAAAGACAGGATAAAGGTCAAGAAAAATACTCAAAAAGTAGGCAAGAGACCTTTTTGATTAGTAAAGGTAAGTGTTATTGCTGGAAAATGCATGATAGAATGTCAGTAGATATCTCCTAACTAATTTTTCAATCATATTTTTCCATTTATCATTCCATTTGAAACTTACTCGTTACAGTGAAACCTGCAATCATTATGCCATTGTAAATCTATGACTACAATTCATTTCATTTCAAACCTTTATTTAGACAGATAGGTCCCTTGAGATCACGGATCTCTTTTACAAGGGAGACCTGCATCAATTTAGTTCCACATGAAACATAAAAACAAACAATCATATTTACATATTCACCAACACTTACAAACACCCATAGTGTCAGAAAGCATCTCGTGCAGACGTGCCTTAAAAACATTCAGAGAAATAAAATTGCTCAAATTCAATTTGGACTATAGGCTGTTCCAAGCAAGTGGAGCTGCGCACATAAAAGCTGTCTTACCTAAGACAGTCCTTACTCTTGGTACATCTAACAAGACTACATCCTGCGATCTCAGACAATAGCTGCTTGCAACTTTCTGCTTTACCAGAGAACAGATGTAATACGGGAGTTTGCCCAACATAGCTTTATAAATAAAAGTGTACCAGTGACTGAGCCTCCGTACAGAGAGTGATGGTAAACCTGCCTTGGTATACAGTGTACAGTGATGTGTAAGCGCTTTACAATTTGTCACAAATCTCAGTGCACTGTGATACGCAGCATCCAATTTGCTCAGGCAATTGGCAGGTGCATTCATATACATCAAATCACCATAGTCCAGCACAGGTAAAAAGGTCACAGTGACTAGCCTTTTCCTGGCCTCAAGCGAGAAACAGGACTTGTTCCTGAAAAAGAACCCTAGCCTAACCCTCAGCTTTTTAAGCAGGTTATTGACATGAAGTTTAAAAGAGAGACAATCATCAAGCCAGATACCAAGGTATTTGTAACAGGCAACAACTTCAAGTTTTGTTCCTTGCGTAGTTACAATATCTAAAACAGGCTCTGGTGTCTTTTTTGCTTTTGAAAAGAGCATTACCTTAGTTTTATCAACATTTATAAGAAGCTTTAGTTCAGAGAGCTGAGTCTGAATAATGTTAAAAACAGCCTGTAATTTAACAACAGCCTCTTTAATGGAGGGACCTGCACAGTACATCACGGTATCATCCGCATACAAATGTAAAGTAGCTTCATCCACATTATCACCTACGCTGTTAATATATATGGAGAATAAAAGTGGTCCTAAATCAGAACCTTGGGGAACACCATTAGAAATGTTTAACCACTCAGAAGACAGTCCATCAAAGTGAACACATTGGGACCTTTCAGAGAGGTAGTTCACAAACCAACCCACTGCATGGCTGGATATGCCGATACTGGCTAGCCTCTGCTTTAAAATGCGATGATCAACGGTATCAAACGCTTTGGAAAGGTCAACAAATAGGGCTGCACAACTCTGCTTATTATCTAAAATACTCGTAATGTCATTCATCACTTTCATTGTCGCAGTGATGGTGCTGTGTTGCTTTCTGAAGCCTGACTGATGTTTAGACAGGATATCATTTATACATAAAAACTCCTTTACCTGTTCACTCACTAGGCGTTCGAGCACCTTAGCCAGAACTGACAATTTAGAGATTGGCCTATAGTTATTTAAAATAGTTGCCTCCCCTCCTTTTAGCAAAGGCAAGACATAAGCTGACTTCCATACTTTTGGAATTGTATTTGTGCTGAGGGAGAGGTTAAAAAGAGTAGTAAGAGGAAGAGCAATAAAATCTGCAGCTATCTTTAAAAAGAAAGGTTCTAAGTTGTCCGGGCCAGCCGGTTTCCTAGGATCTAACTTGGATAAGGCTTCATGAACAACATTGACAGTAAAAGGAGTACAACTGAAAGGGTTTTCCAGACCACATTGTTCAGAGTCAAGGATTGGAGCATTCACAGAAGCAGAAGTATACAGTCAGTGACAGAATCAAACAGAGAGCCACAAGACACAAAATGCTTATTAAAACAATTTAGCATAGTAGCCCTGTCTGATATAATGCCAGATGCTGTGGTGAGGCACGGAGGTAGCTCATTTGGGATATCACCAGTGGAAATCGATTTTATGGCTTTCCAAAATTTCCTATAGGATTATTCAGGTTTTCTGTGGTAACTGACAAATACTTTGATTTAGCACTTTTTATTTGAGATGTGAAGCTATTTCTTAGCTGCCTAAAGCGTAGCCATTCTACCTCTGAGCCTGATTTCATAGCCTTGGCCCAAGCATTATTTCTCTCATGAAGTAGACTGGACAGCTCAGCAGAAAACCAGGGATTGTTTCTGCCAGACACATTTTAATGAATAATCTGCTGTTCCAGTCCCATTACATAAAGTTTCTCTAAGTGCCACATTGCCAGAAAGCCCGGCAATCTCACAATGCTCTTGCATCATATGCTGCTACTATAAAGCCGGGCTGCTGTGCGCATGATCCACTGCCTCTCTGTGTCGTTGCTCCTTCTCCATTGGCTCTCCCTCCGCTGTGCACGCAGCCTTCACACCGCCCGCCCCCCACAGCACAGTGCGTGCGCCGAACGAGAGTGTGCACCCTTACCCACGCTGCCAGGATCAGACACCGCTTCCCACGCTGCTTCTTAGAGGGGAGAAAGGATGGAGAAAAATAGCGAGATCAACGGGCACGCACTGCCCAGCTCCGCGTCCACTGATATGATCGTGGAGAAAAGCCCGAAGAGGAAGAAGAGTTTCAAGGAGAAGCTGATGGAGTTCCTGGGGAAGAACCTGCTGGTGATCCTGACGGTGTCCGGGGTGCTGGTGGGCGTCGGGCTAGGGATGATGGTCCGCAACATGGACCTCAACAAGGCGCAGATGACATACTTCGCCTTCCCCGGAGAGATGCTCCTCCGGATGCTGAAGATGATCATCCTGCCCCTGGTGGTGTGCAGCCTGGTGTCCGGCGCCGCCAGCCTGGACACGCGCTCCCTGGGCAAACTGGGGGGCATCGCGGTCGCCTACTTCCTGGTGACCACGCTGATCGCCTCGGGGATCGGGGTGACCCTGGCTTTCATCATCAAACCCGGGGTGGGAGCTGGAGCCCTGAACACCAACGACCTGGGGCTGGAGAGCATCCGCAACAACAAGGAGACCACCGACTCCTTCTTAGACCTGGCAAGGTACCGTGAACTCAACACGCAACATCTTTTGTTCCGTCAATGTTCAACAGGCTCAGTAGGCCTACTTTAAATGTGTAATTCGTTACAATAATTTGTTACCTGTAAAAAAATGTAATCGGTAACTTAATCTGAGTAAATTATTTGTTGCTTTACTATTTTACACACCAATGGTAGGCTACATAAATGTATCAGAGGCATGCGAGGTTGAAAGGGTTACTTTAAAAATGTATATCGTTACAATAAATAGTTAGCGTATACCTGTAAAAAAATGTAATCCGTAACTCAATCTGAGTATGACAATACTTTAAAAAAAATCTAATTACTTAATCCCGTTACATGTAATCCGTTCACAGTACTGTTGCCAGGTACTGTGAACGCAACACTGCACTTAAAAGCACTTCTTCAACATATTCAACAGGCAGGGTTTTTTTCCAAACTATATTCTGTTACAATAACTAGATACCCCTAAAATTATAATCCTGCTTGTTATCCCCAGTCTTTAGAAATGTAACAGTAATTTGATTAAGGTTTTATTTATGTAACTGTAAAAGGATACATTTTAGAAACTCAGAGTGGAAGAAGTACTCAGATCTTGTACATACGTAAAAGTAGAAGTACCAGAGTGTAGGATTACTCTGTTTCAAGTTAAAGTCTTGCATTCAAAATGTTACTCAAGTAAAAGTATACAAGTATTATCATCAAAATATAGTGAAAGTAGCGACAGTAAAAGTAGTCATTGTGCAGATTGGTCCATTTCAGAATAATATATATGATATGTTTTATAATGATTGATCATGAAAGTGTTCTCAAAGCTGGTAAAGGTGCAGCTAGTTTGAATGACTTTGTATACTGCAGGGTAGCTTGTGGATTTACTCCAGGTGGAACTAAAGTCTGATTTAACACTTGATTAGATTTCACATCATTCATCCACATCTGTGAAGTACAGTAGAAGTACAGCGTAGCATACAATGGAAATACTCAAGTTGAGTAAAAGTATCTCAAAATTGTACTTAAGTACAGTGCTTGAGTAAATGTACTTAGTTACTTCCCACCTGAATTGCATTTATATGGAGATAGGGCATTGCCAATAAATACAAGTTCGATACTTGTAATCCATTACTCGTACAGGCTAGGGCAGGGGTGGCCAACCAATCAGAGGTAAAGAGCCAATAATTGTCCTGTGTTACTGCAAAGAGCCACATCATACAGTACACACAGGCACACATGCTGGGTGTATGTCCCCCGACCTCTATCTCCTTCTCTCTTTTGCTCTCAGCCTTTCTGTGTGCTCCCTCACTCTCTTCCTCTATGTGCCCCTCTCTATCTCTCACACATACAAAATGAAAATCTAAAAATGAACAATAATTGACACACACACAGTCACATACAGAAACACATACCTCCGCTCAGCCAGATTTCCTATAAATGTCACAGTCCATGATATTGACAGAAATTGACTTAAACCTCTCCTACCAGTATTAAGACCAGAGGCCAGTTATAGTCAACCATTAATATTGTGTCTCACACACAAACTCTCAGTTAAAAACATTTGAAAAAAGTAGTTATCTTACTACAGTATGCATGTTGCTTCTTGAAATGTGCAGAGGATGTGGAAGGGGCTCAAATGCATGAAAGGGCACATTTGCGATCTTTGCGACTTTTTTCTCACACACAGATTCATGAGTTATTTAAAAATAAATGAAAATAAATAAAGTGTATTTGTGTTAATTCTCCTCACATGACATCTCAACTTTTACCTAACCCTCTGACTGACAGAAGCTCTGCTGACAGAGATGCACTTTCTCTCTTGTTTATTTCTTTACCGCGAATCACCAAATTCGGGAGCCCTTCTGTGCCAGTAGCCAGCTTTCCGGGAGCAGGCCTTCTCACATACACATATACAACTGCAAATTGTTACCGTTTTGATTTGACAACATTATATTGAGTTATTACGGTTTTATCTGAGTTATATTTCTGCCAATCGGAAGCAGATCTCTCCCTTCACTGTCACATCGCGAGTGCAGTAAAGCCCGCCTGCAGTACTGCAGGATCTGCATTTTGATTGGCTAAAGCACTTATTTGTTGAAAACTCTGTGTAACGATTGGGCTGGAACTTGTGTGTTGTTAACCCTTTGTGAACTGGGATACATATGCGCAAAAAAACCAAAACACAATTAAAATTCGAAATGAACTGAGTCTCATTCTCATGCGGCTCGCATGAGACTGGGCAAAGAGCAGCATGCGGCTCGAGAGCCGCGGGTTGGCCACTCCTGGGCTACCTGTAACACCATTACGTCATCGGGTTACTGAAAACGGTAACTGTATTCCCTTACAGATGCATACAAAAACATGTAATCAGATTACCGTTACATTTTTAAAACATGGCGATTACTAGCAGGATACCAATGTTACGATTCATTTACAGTACGAAGCAATGAGACACATCTAATTGTAAAGGCCACTGTTGAGTATCAAGTTGATCATAACGCTCCTGTAAATAATGAATGACATTAAAGAGCAGGTCAGTGTACCCTGCGATATCTGAAACACTTAATACTGATGTTTGCACTGTCATAAGAGGTCAGAGATCTGGACTACTGTGGTGCGCTTCTAGTCAGTGCATCAGTGTGAAAGGGCAGAGGTGGACAATTTAGACCTAGTCGTGCCCTTTTTTGTAAGTCTGCAGAAATACCCTATGTGTCCTAAGTAAAGTTGATCAACTACACATTACGGGACAGAAGTGGAGAGAACACTGAATGTGTGGCACTACCTGACAGTATGAAGCTCGACTGACAGGAAAGCTTCCTAACCAGTGCTGTTGGTTTTGGGTTACGTTAGATGTGTTCGCTTCACACAAAACGCTGCTCCTTCTGTTCCTCCGCGTCTCTCTCTTCTCATTCTGACAGGATTCAAAATGCAGTTAGAGCTCAGATAGCCTTATCATACAGGCTGATATATAACATATAGTAGTAGGATGCATGCAGACTTGGGGATTATATTTGATGGGATTAGGTTATTGGGATAGTAAAGTAAGTGTGTTCCCTTACAGTGACATAGACAAAGATTACAAAATAGGGGATTACTCGCAGGATAACTATGTTACTAAAAAACAAAAAAAAGAGCATATTGTGCTTGTTGCAAAAGGGCTGCTTACATTTTACAGGTAAGTACTGAAAAAACGGAACCGATGACTTTAAATTAAATGTATGATGTCAAGAACTGTATTAGGTTAGTTGAAAGCAATACTTTTTTTAATCTCAAACTTAATATAGTTGTTTTTTACTAACCTGTTACAGTTATGTGAACATTTTTCCCATAATACATTTAATGAAAGTCTGCGTTTCAGTGTGATCAGTGTGACACTGCATGCATCCGAGACGTTTAGGGAACATTGTACAGAAGTAAAGGGACCAAGTCTTCATGGAGGGCTTCTCCAGCCCTCGTTACCCTCCCAACCCCCCCTCAGTGTGAGGGAAAGCTGACAGCTGCTTGGAGAGTGGAGTGTATTTTGAGAGAGAGAGAAGAGGAGGAGTGATAAACAGTAGTACAAATGGAAACCAACTGCTGCTGTCAGCTTTTCTCCCTTATCACAATAGCCGGTGGTCAGGCTGATTGTCTTTCTCAGTCTTACACGTGAACTTTATATAATAGGAGCAGCTGATGGTTTGATAGTTGCAGCAGAAAGTGTAAGATCCTTCTTTTCTCTGTAAAGGATTTATATGAATTTACTGTCTAAACTTACTTACACCAAACGATGATGAAACACCTGAACATTGTTTTTATTTCTCTTAACACATCTGTTGAACAAAAGATCTGCACTCCTAAAACCATATTATGTCATACATTCATACCAGACACACATTCACTGCCAGCAGTGCAGTAATACAAGGTTTTGTCACAATCATAGTGTAAAACTAAATAAAATAAATACAAATAATAATACAAATACAATGTATTTATATAGCACCTTTCCAAACATTTACAACGTTCTTTCATGGAAATGGTCAAACATTAACCAAAGAACAGCATCTAAATACATAAAACACAAAAAACAAAAACGTATTAGTACTAGTATACAATGTAACCAAAGTGACAAAACTCATTACTCATTCTGCAAAATGGCCCATTTGAGAATAATATATATTCTATAACTGTATTTTAAAAGTAATAACAGTGTGGAAGTACTTTGTGGCTTGTAAAAGTCCTGCATTCAAGTTGTTCATTAAAGGTCTCATGTCATGCTTTTCCGGTTATTACCCGTCCCCTTGTGTGTTATGTAGCTTGTTCTGCATGTAAACGGTCTGCAGAATCACAAACCCTCAAAGTACACCCTGTAGCGAGTACAACTCTAACACAGAAAATACCTGTCTATGCTGCCCCAGAACGCCTCGTTGGAGATTTCTCTTTTTCCATTTTCTCCTTCCGGGGCCTACTGACGTAACAAAGTCCAAATGGACCAATCTGCGGAGCTCAGTACACACACACACACACACACACACACACACACCACACCACACACACACACACACACACACACACACACACACACACACACCCACACACAACACAACCACACACACACACACACACACACCCAACACACCAACACACAAACCACACACACACACAACACACACACACACACACACACTCAGAGCTCAGGCTATGAGTGTGTGTGTGTGTGTGTGTGTGTGTGTGTGTGTGTGTGTGTGTGTGTGTGTGTGTGTGTGTGTGAGTGTGTGTGCTCAGGCTGAGCTCCGCGGTGTCTCGCTGTCTCGCAGACCCCACGCAGCAACCAGGAAACAACACCAGTAATCCAGCTCACACTGTCCGCTCCTCGAGCCCCACAGGGCGGAGCAACGAGCCCCGCAACGTCCCGCCAACACGGCACCCAGACCCCACGCAGCATTCTCATCTGTTTGTCATGACTGGTGTCATTTTCTGGTTGCTAACAAACGCCATTGTAAAACATAATCACTGATGTTCCGCTGTAACGGTGGTGGACTCATCAGAACAGAGTGGGCGAGCTGACCAATCAGAGCACAGTGGGCTCATAGGGAGGGGGGGGGGGGGGCAGGAGCTCCAACAAGCCGTGTAGGACAGAGAGTGAATACAGATACTATACAGAGATGCTGTATGAGAAACCAATGTGAGTTTGGAAAATTGAACAATGTAAATCTATTCTAGTAGACCTCAACAGTGGAATTATGATCAGTAGAAATGGCCATCACATGGGACCTTTAAGTAAAAGCAAAACACATGTTAGCATCAAATTATACTTTGTACTTAGAGAACCAAATGTAAAGTACTCATTTTGCACAATGGCCCATTTCAGCATTGTATTCTGAAAAAGCATTTTGAAAGAAAAATTTAAAAAAAGTAAACAATGATGAATACAATTCAGAAACTACTGTTTTCTACTTATTATTTAAAAAATGAGGTAAACCATGTTTCCATACTGTCCAAAGAAATGTGCAAACTGTTGCAATAAGTGTATAACTCAGAATCTAATTAATCACTCCTAATGACATTAGCTGAAAAAAACTTTCCGCCGCCCTGAATTCAAAGGACCGTGAAATGAATGATGTTTGGCTTCAATTAATAAGGAAATCAAGTTGTTATGCAACATCTTTAAAATGAGCCTTAAGAGAGGAGCCAGTGGGCCCCCGGGGTTGGGGGGGGGGGTCTGTGAGAAAAGCTTGCCAGCTCTCAGCTCTGGTTTCCCAGAGTTAATCCAGATCCTCACCCGTCATGTGACAGCAGGAAACCTGACTGCCTTCTCACAGAGAAGAAGAGTTCGAAAACTTGTAGGGGTTCAAGAATTCCACCAAACAAAAACATTTCTCAGCAGCATATTGAAACGAATAAATTACTAAGTTACAACATCATGGCTACCTGCCAGTTTAGCCAGTGGAGCTGCCACATTAGATTTGACCCTGAACTGCAGGCAGGGATGACGTAGGGGTTTCAGACTGAACTGCTTGGCTGTGATCTGGCCATGCGAATAGATGTGGCCAAAGAGGATAAAGTTACGACAACGTTAAAATGTAGTTAGCGCTTTATGTGTATTTGTTAACGTTTTTGTCAAACATTAAACTTCATGACACTCGTGGAATATTTGCTTTTTTCAGAATATCATTTTTAGTAGTATGTTAGGCAAATCGTTCATGTATACAGACTTACATTTGGGTCAAACACGTGTAAAGTTATTTTCTGTTGTTGCCGTCAATCTTTTTTGCTCCACCACTTTGATCCAACCTCAAATATCTCAACAACTATTGGTGGTATTACCAAGGCATTTTATAAAAGCATTCATGCTCCCCAGAGGATTAACTCAACTGACTTTTGATGAGGTTATCATTTTGGATTTGAGGTTAAATGTCTCTACATCTGTAGCGCTAATTAGAAAAACTAAAAAAGGCAACATGGGGGAGTACCTACTAAACATAAACTTGGTAACTCTATCATTGAGACTATTTTAGCAAATAGCTTTCATCAGTACAGCTAAAAAGAGCTGCTAGCATGGCAGCAGACTTTGTTCACTATTTGGTTGCATTCTAAAGCAAGCAAATGTCATGCAATGTGCATTTATCCTCATGCAATGGTTTGTATCATCAAGAACCTGCAGTGAAAAACAGGATTGCACATTTTCTTGGTTAAGTTAAGCCAAAGGTCTTGGTTTGGGTTTGTCTACGTACTTATTTACGTACGTTTTGTAACAACTGAGTAAATATTAACTTTGGGTATCAGGAAGAGTGGTTATTATCAGTGTGTGGTTGTTTGATGTCTACGAACAACAGGATACATTACACATAGTAAGAACCACCAAAAATAATGTTTAATAATAACTAGGGCCGGGACTTTAACGCGTTAATTAAGATGAATTAATTACACAAAAATTAACGCGTTAAAAAAATTAACGCATTTTAATCGCACTTATTTTTGCACCGCGGAACGTTTCTCACTGGATGAGTTTCAGGCGTACCGATTATACTGGAGCACCAACTAACGTTCATGACTTCAAACAACAACAAACCACAGTGAACAACAGTGGGAAATGTTGTTTTAAAAAACGGACGGATGGAAGCGTCGATATGTGTGCAAATTATGCAAAAAGGAATTCGCATATCACCGCAGCACATCAAGCCTCAAGTATCACCTCAATGCAAAACATATAGCAGCTAGCGTGGAAGCTAGCATGGACGTTAGCCTCTTTTATCGCGTTCACACCAAAAAGAGCCGGTACTAAAATGAGTTCATGAGAACCTTTTTACCCCCACGAAAGTCCCTGCTAGAGAGCAGAGAGCTGCTAGAGAGCAGGGACTTTAGTACGGCTCTCTTGTGAGAAAAGAGCTATAATTCTGATTGGCTGGGCGGATTGCAAACCACGCCCCGTAAAACTCCCAAAAAGTTTTGTGAAGCCGCCATTTTATTATCCTCGCATTAGCATTATTAGCATTAGCCCAGCGCAGAAACGCAGAGAGACTAACTTATGGCAACACAAAATAAAACATGGGAGCGGTGGAGATTGTTATGGAAATAATTGTCATAGACGCCAAGATGTAACATACAGGACAAACCTTGATGTCTGTTTACCTTCTTTAAGGACACAGGCTGCTTAGCCAATAATGTTATTATTCCCATTCTGTGACCGGTCAATACTGGGTCACAGATGGTCTGTGTTGTGGGTACACTGGGACACTTCCTTCTCTGTATTTGTGGACTCCAAGGTGAAATCTTCGAGGTCATAGGTGTCCGAGGCAAGTAGCTCAGTGTTCCCACACTGTTTAGGCTATCTTCTCAAATATGTTGTTTACTCTCTGCGAAACCAGTTAGATGGGCTGGCAAGAGAGAGGCTCTCCAGAATTGACGTGGCAACTCTACCGTGAAGTCAGAACCTCTGACTCTTGGACTTGTGATGTGAATCCTCCGGCCGTTAACTCCAAATAAACCATCATGTGTTTGACATCAAAGCTACTGCTCCTACCGTGTCTCCTTCCTGAGTCGGTGACTCCCACTGCATAGCTACACAGAAGTTTCCTCTACAGAGATGAGGAGGTGTCGGCGTTCTGGCGATTTACTCGGAAGGCTTCAGTAGAAGCTGCTGGGACTCCCAGCAGCTTCTACTGAAGCCAGTCCCCAACTCCGGGGACTTCCGGCCGGGGACTTTGGGCGGCAGTATACGCCGTGAAGTGGTTTGCGGCCTGCCAGTAAACCCAAAGCAGAAGAAGAAGAAGTGACGTCAGCGGCTTCATTTGCCTAATCCACCCCCAGGTTCAAAGAGTTCTCATGAACCTTTGTGGGAAAAGTACTGCGGTGTGAATGCGCCTAATGGTATACTAAAATCCATGTGAAAAAAATTGCTTCTCACTGTTCTCAGGTCAAATATTTATATGTGATTAAAAATGCGATTAATTTCGATTAATTAATTACAAAGCCTCTAATTAATTAGATTAATTTTTTTTATCGAGTCCCGGCCCTAATAATAACTTGTTCATTGTGACCTTTGGTTATCTTCGATTTTTGATACAACTTCTTCACGCCCAAAAAACATTTTAACATCATCTGTCATTCATTATAGAGTAAGTATTTTTGGGAGCGGCATCAAATGAACCCAACACTCCATCTTCATGAGTCAAAGTAACAACTATGCAATAGATGATATAAGATATCTGTTTATTAGGGTTAGGGGGTGTCTTTTCTTATTTGTGGAGTCACAAACAGTAGATTAATTTAGTAACGTTGTAAGCAGTTTTTGGCTAACTGGACTATTAACCAACCTTTTAAATGATGAGAAAGATACTTTTCTATATATGAATGAATTCAATTGTTTTAATTTAAAGACATGTCCTTTTAAGAATACATATATATACTGCTACAGGAGGAGAGCCGAAGTGTAAGGAGTGATGATTAAACAATATTGTGAAAATGTATCATTGTCATTGGGTTACGAAATACTTTCTTAATGGGAAGTTGTTTTATTTTTTATTTAACCAACTACAGGTTAATTATTTCCCTTGTTTCGGTTCAACATAGACATCAAATCAGTTTTCCTTCTCTTTCTTTCACAGGAATTTATTCCCAGCTAATTTGGTGGCAGCTGCTTTCCGCTCTGTAAGTAACAGCACGTCAATTCATCCCACTACATTGTCCACACTATATTCTCCAATAGCCCATCATCACGTTTACTTTATCCTCGCCACCTGTGTCTTGTGAGGATTTATCATCAGAATGAACTCCTCCAATCAGCGACTATATCCTGGCTGTAGCTCTGGAGTCTCATAATGCCTCTTAATGAGGGGACGCTCACAATAGAGAGCACTGACCGCCTGAAAACTCCTTTTCCTTGTCCCTTACCATCGGTTACCATGGCGAAACCATTACATTCCAGACAGCCTAGCAACCCACCTTGCTTCACTGCTCTTGAACATGTCCCGCTTTACTTCCTAGAATTATGATCGTGCACGTTAAGGCTAAAATAAGAAGCAGGACATTTCAATATTTGGGGATGCAGGGAAACAAAATGGCTATGCACACACAGAAAAGCAGAGTGGCTTACGCACACAGACGCTCGTATCTGAACCAATTGCTTTCCTAAACCAGGTCAGTGAATGATAAACTCACAAATAAGGTAGTGACTTTGCACAGGAAGAGGTAAATAGGTTTCAATGTGCAGCCAGGTCACAGAGTTCGATATTCAGCCCCTGCACCCAGCATATACTTTGGCAGAGCCCCTGTGGAATGGGCCCAACTGTGGATTAAACCAAGAAAGCAGAGGAGAGGGGAGATTTGCACAACATGACAAGCAGCTAGATGCTTAAACAGACCTTTGAACAAATGGAGTGTAAGATTTAGATTATGGGGGAGGTTTTATTTTTATTTTTATGGGTGTAGTTATGTACTGTATATCTCTTTGCTTTTCATTTAAAGTCCATAGATCTGTCAACATGTTGGGTTGCAGGGCTTTTTAAAGCACTGCAGAGAGGGGGGTCTTTGTTGCAGTGCTGGTTGTCTCCATTACTATTGAAAGACTGTCTGCACTTCAATAGACAGTTTGAAGCTGGCCCCCAACCCCATGCACATGCTGCATTCCTTATAAGAGCAATGCAAATACATAAGTAATGCCATTTGTGCCAATGAAACAAACATTTTAAATTGGGCCTTTTTTACTTTTGACTGATTTCTGTCAATCTTTGCTGATTGTTTAGCTTAAGTCTGCACTGCTCCAAACTGTAGGTCATTTGCTTTGAGTTACTCATACAAACCCTCTTTAAAACTATAGAAATGTTCCATTTAAGTGCTGTTCTGATAAAATGATTTAAAAAGTGTAGTTTGACATTTCAAGGAGAGTTAAATAAGAAGATCGATACCTCTCATGTGTCTAAGGGTAATTACGGAGGTTGAGCTTGAAGGAAATTAGTTTTGCACAGCATAAAGTTTCAACCCAGTCTCACGGCATTTCGTGTTCACCAACACGATTTTTAATCTATTGATTCGTGTTCACCAACACGATTTGCCCCTTTTTTTTCGTGTTGCACAGCACGATTTTAAAAGCAATGTATTTCTACTGCCTGCAGCACGTCTTTTTCTCCGGTCAGGTCGAGGAAGACCGGAAGCTGTGTGGTTCATAAAAACATGTTCTTACTCAATATCAAGCCACAGTTATTGCTTTTATTTGAAATCGTATAATTTCTGACTTTTGTTGCCGTCTGTGAAGAAAATAAATGGGGCTCAGAGCCTCAGGATACTGAAATCTGTATTTTTTAAATATTTGTTTCCTTCTAATTTGTTATTCTTTTCAAAATAACACACTTTTATTTACTCACCAATAACACACAATTATCCTTGCTTTTATTTATTTGTTTAATTCCATAATCTCTGGCTTTTTTGGCGTCCGTCAGGAACTGAATTTCAAAATAAAAATAACCGGAAACAGACGTAGACATTTCGAGCGATTACCCAAGATCCTCCCCTATGGTTTTAAGCTCGCTTATTGGATGTTTTAGCCGCAATGCATGCTGGGATTTGGTGTTTATATGATATGAAATCCGGAAAACATTTTAAAAGAATAAAATAATACTTAATTCTGAGCGCTCTTGCTTTTCTCTTTGAAAGTCATCACATAACGGCATTGTAATACACGGTTCGGCTGCATTGTATATTACAGATCTGCCGTAGTTCTTTATTTATAGAGCCCTGATGAGAAGACCTTTGGAAAAACTGAGAAAATGCCGCCGAAACTGAATACTTGACGTGGATCATAAATATATTCAACAATTAAACAACATCTTCAATTTCTCTTCACACAATACGTCTCATTGTAGTATCAACACTAATTCGGCTGACTTTTACATTTGATCTAATTCACAGATAGGTTATATTTACACCATAACGGTGCACAGCTGATATAAAAGGACTGTAGTTTTTAAAGATATTACTGATTTTCTTTGAATGTAAGAATGTAAATACTGAAATAGTATAGCAATATGCTGTAAAATTATGTGAAAGCATGCATAAAACTACACATTTTCAGATGTTGTACGAAAACAAGTGTCCTACACTAATAATACAAAGTTATTATGGCTGTGTGTACCTTGTGTGCACCGCCTAGTGGTTAAAGCACGTTATTGAATTATTGTGTTTTATTTGATTAAAAAAATATTAAGAGTACATACTTTCATAGGGGGAAAGTATAAATATAGAAAATAAAAAATCAAGAAGATGCTATAAGTGATCTCTACAATAAAACAGTTTAGTGCAGAATGTACAAAGATATTAATAGGAGGAGGTGCAAAACAGAAAAACGAATTAACCTTTATTTAAACATTAAATAACAGATTAAGGTCTTCTTTTAAATAAGAAAAAAACTTTGGGGGTATCTATCTACAGATAAATATTAAGCCTGACAAAGTACTTAACGTCTAATATATTGCTTTCCTACAATGTTAACTACGTTGAAGCACTTATTTTAACTGATATTATACATATGAATTATACTCTTATGTATGTAGATAGAATAAGAAATGTGCAGAATATGACAGTTTAATGGTGGAGGTACACACATATTGATAGATGTATTGTAATGCACTGTTGAGGAACCTGTGACCCAAGTGTTTCATTCATTGCATAAGTACACCGTAGTTGTGTATATGATATGTCAATACACCTTTGAAAATCTTGAAAGGGATGTGCAAAATAGCCATAATATACAGTCTTTAATTAACTATTAGTAGAGAATAACGAGTAATGAATATACTTTATTACTCGTTTCCATTCATGTCAATTGCAGATACATGTTTAGTCTTCTCAAGCACCAACTATCAAATATCTCTCCTGATTGTTGGCACTTGACAATCACCTTCCCTGAATTTTACTCAGGTGTAACTAAAGTCTGATTTAAGGGTTGTTTATATTTCACATCATTAATCAGAATCTGCAAAGTAACTCAAATAAATGCAGTGGAGTAAACATACCAGGTTAACCTCTGAATTGTAGTGGAGTAGAATTACAAAGTAACAATGAGCTGTCATGTGGGTATTAATGCTGCGCATTATGGACACAAGCGATTTTCACCCATTTATTAATTATATGTTTTACATTTGATAACACCAATGTGTTTAATACTGGCAACTTCTAATTGTGGGAAAAACGAAAACGTTCAGTAGAGACGTCCCATAGAACATTTTGCGAAACACAATAGCCAGCATGTGTAGTTCTGGGGGGGCGTTCGATTCCAGTTTTGGATAGTCTGGCGTGGTTTCATTCCATTTCACACAGCTGTTTGACGCTCTGCGTAACCGTACGGGGACTGTAGTCCTAAACGATAGCTGGGGATTATGGGTAGTGTAGTGTCTTCGGCCATCCTAAACTCAGAAATGTTGACAATCGCAATGATGCTCGAAATGTCCCTTATAGTCCTACGTCTGTTTCCGGTTATTTTTATTTTGAAATTCAGTTCCTGACGGACGCCAAAAAAGCCAGAGTTTATGGAATTAAACCAATAAATAAAAGCAAGGATAATTGTGTGTTATTGGTGAGTAAATAACAGTTATTTTGAAAAGAATAACAAATTAGAAGGAAAAAAAGATTTAAAAAATACAGATTTCAGTATCCTGAGGCTCTGAGCCCCATTTATTTTCCTCACAGACGGCAACAAAAGTCAGAAATTATACGATTTCAAATAAAAGCAATAACTGTGGCTTGATATTGAGTAAGAACATGTTTTTATGAACCACACAGCTTCCGGTCTTCCTCGACCCGACCGGAGAAAAAGACGTGCTGCAGGCAGTAGAAATACATTGCTTTTAAAATCGTGCTGTGCAACACGAAAAAAAGGGGCAAATCGTGTTGGTGAACACGAATCAATAGATTAAAAATCGTGTTGGTGAACACGAAATGCCGTGAGACTGGGTTGAAAGTTTGGAAGCAGTTGGAAAAGCTAGCCTGGCTACTTCCAAATGCTTGAATTATTGATACTAAAAGAGTTGTTTGACATATTAAGGACAGTTAGATACAAAGACTGATACCTCTATCATGTCTATGGGAGATTAAGGAGGTTGAGCTTGGAGGAGATACATTTAGCTTAGCATAATGTATGGAATCATGGGGAAAACAGCTAGCCTGGCTTCTTCCAAATGCTCAAATGTTTCAAATTGAAGGAGTAGAATGACATTTCAAGGAGAGTTAGAAACCAAGACCGATACCTCTCTAATGTCTGTTGATAATTATGGAGGTTGAGCTTGGAAGAAATTAGCTTAGCTTAGCTTAGTTTAAAGTGTGGAAGCAATGGGAAACATCTAGCAGGGCTCCTTCCAAAATGCTCAAATTATCGAAATTAAAAGAGTAGTTTGATATTTTAAGGAGTGTTAGATAAGAAGATCAATACCACTATCATCATGGGTTATTATGGAGCTTGAGGTTGGAGGAAATTGTGGAAGCAGGGGGAAACAGCTAGCTTTGCTACTTCCAAATGCTCAAATGCTAACTAATAAATACATAGGGGAGTCTTTTCCTTTACGTGAGAATGTACTTAACAAAAATGTATGAATTAAACCATCTTTCCTTTATGTTGCAGTATGCCACTGATTACAAGATGGTTGCTGTAGGGAACGACACAAACGGGACTGCCCTCTATCAAAAGGTATGAACTGGTAGCATCACATGTATACACACACACACACACACACACACACACACACACACACACACACACACACACACACACACACACACACACACACACACACACACACACACACACACACACACACACACACACACACACACACACACACACAGGGCCGCCTTAATGCACGGGCTGACCTGGGCTGAAGCCCAGGGACCTACGGAGATCGGGGGCCTATCATGAGCCAATAAAAAATAAATAAATAAAAATGTTTTTTATTTCGGATGTTTTTAACATTTGTTTAAATAAACCAAGTCTTGGCTTTCAGAATATGAAACTTTTATTTCCAAAATCACACGATAAATACATTTTTGAAGCTTGTAAAGGGAAGATGACAGCTCTCCCTCGCCACGGCAGGGTCCGTCACAGTTTGTTTTCATCTGGTTTCAAATAAACAAAGTCTTGGCTTTCAGAATATTAAACTTGTTTTCGGCAAATTCAGATGATAAATACAACTTTGAAGCTTGTAACGACATAATTACAAGCGGAGAACGGAGTAACTTGATGTCACAGCAGGCATAACAACAGCTGGTGTTTCTCGTGAGGGTTTTCCCCGGGAAACAAACACAATACACACAAACGCAAAAATACACAAACACACACACACACACACACACACACACACACACACACACACACACACACACACACACACACACACACACACACACACACACACACACACACACACACACACACACACACACACACACACACACACACACACACACACACACGCGCACACACATTACCCTTGTGTAAAGTGCTAACAATTGCACTTTCGAAAGGAAAAGTGGTTTGCTCCAAGAGGCTTCTAAGTGTGTGTTTGAGTCATTCATATAGGCAGACTCCCTGAGTAAGCACTGTGTGAGAGACTAATGGATGGCCTGGTTAAGGGAGAAGGATGATCAGTAACATGCAGGGCCGGACTGAGACAATAAATCAGGCCAGGCCACTACCATTTCTTTTCTGTGCCATTTTGCTGGATTTATTTGTGAATATTTACAGCTTTGCTGCCCATAGTGATAGCCCTCTAGTTTACATCTACTTCCCAATAATAAACATATGGACAGGGGTTCATATTTAAAAAAATGTGCAACATTTGGGAACATATCCATGTGAACATATTTTGGGGGTGGACCTCAAATCCTCTAGGGGGGTCCGGGGGCATGCTCCCCCCAGTACGTTTTTTATTTTTTATTTTGGAGTTGAATGCATCAATCTGGTGCATTTTGAGGGGGAAATAAAGAGACTAGATCTATGGAAACACCTATATGAAACAGAACTGTATACATTTGAATAATCATAAGAACATGGCCATAACCAATAACATACCATATCCAATATGATTTTTAAAACAAAGTTGTTTATTTATTTATTTTTGGTTAATTTATAGTTGTGAGTGTGTCTAGGCCCCTGAACCAGCTTCACCTGTCTCCCTCCTCTCCTCCCTTCTCCTCTTTGAGGCAGCAGCAAAGACTAGTTTTAGCTCTCAACACGTTTTAAAAGTGTATCTTACCTTTTTTCACCTAGTTAACATTTTATTTTTATTATTCATGCATATTTTACTAATCACTCCCCCCTCAAATGGAAATATGTGTTTACATAAATGGTAACCAAACCGTTTGAGACCCACTGCGATAACTTAGACTAAATTAACTATCTAAACACTCAGAGAGTCCTTAACCTCACCCTCATTTATAAAGGGATATACGCAAAAAAATGGCGTACGCCAGTTTCTAAGCAATGTTTGCGATTTATAAAATACTAACTTGACGGGAAAAGTGCGGTCCTCCACGCAAACTCTAACCCATGCGTACGCACTAAGCACAAAAACGGGAGAGACGAGAAACTGCGACACCGTTGGCAGAAGGAAGAATGGAGAGAAATATGTGGAAATAATACCATAAATAAAATGTTACCTCTCATTTATCATATGAAGAATTCATTTTCACAAATTGATTAAAGCCAATCTTAAAATGATTAAACAAACGCCTGGTTGCGACTCCTCAGTGCACACAAAAACATAACTTGGAGAAATAAATAAATACGGATATGTTATTTAAAACCACCTCGAATGTGTTGTGATAATGTTATGAAATGTTTTCTCATAAATGATGCGGTAAGCAGGAGGACAGAATTACGTCTAAACTGACGCCGTTTTGCATTTCTATAGGTTGTAGTAGATACGAGCATGGTTTTATATACTATCACGTTTAATCGTGTTTTATGCCGTTTGCCAAGACTTGACAAGTCGATCGTAAAACACAGGAGGTATGGAAACTAAGAACACCATATGTAAATTGTACAGCTAATATAACAACACATTAGTTGTATTTCCTTTAACTGGTGGATTATGGATATATAGTTGCTGATTGAAAGCTGGAACACAAACTACCAAATACAAACAAATAATTCAGATCCAGTCGTCATGACTCCACTCCGGAGGGATTCCCCGATCACTTCTTACAGTCTCTCATCAACGGGGTGTCTCCTGTCCCCGGTGCAAACACACTGCCTGAGGAAGGCTATGTGTATTTATTTTGTCATTAGACTTTTTCGGACCACTTATTTATTTATATTGGTGACGATTCGACCTCCATGCTGCTACTCTGGTTCAAACTGCATCCACCAAACAATATGATTTATCTCGACCTCCCCAAAATAACCAAAATCTGACACGGTGTGAGATGTCTTTTTTAGCTGTTCTGTCGTCATTTCCTGCGATCTTCTTCATAAAGTCAGTCAGAATGAATGAATGAATGGGCGTTTCTTTGACTATTTATAGGCAAATATGGGCGTTACGTGAAGCCCGCAAAAGCTGCACCGCATTTCGAGTCGATTGTGATTTATAAAGGGAAACCGGCGTAGGAAGTGCCGTACGCACTTTCCTCGCCGGTACGCAATGTTCGGTGAATCGGAAAATGTATGGACCTATTTTTTAGGTGGGGCAGGGGCGCGCAACAGCGTTAATTAAAGTTTAAAAGTCTCAAAAATGCTACAACTACTGTCACAAACTGGATGAATGTGAAGTATTTTGTTAAAGGAGGATGAAAGCGTAATTAAGGAGCACTATTGGAGTGACTTTGATGGTTATTGGATCAGGATTAATTTATTTGGATTCCCGCTGTATGAAGAAATTAAAGGATGGCGCAAGTGGTAACAATTCACAAAGGGATTAAACTGTTTAAAACACATGCTCAAAGTAAGCTGGATTTTGCCGATGTGTTTATGTGGATTCAAAAGTCGTAAATAATCTACAAAATGGAGGAGACCGATCTGATTGGAGCAACTGTGACAAATAATCCAACTGAAACCGGCATGGAAAATGACTATGTTTTAAAAATGCGCTTATCCAGACAAGCCTGGTTTGGACACTTTATGGGCAGAAGAAACATTTATATTAAAGAAATAATTATACATTTCTGTCTTTTTATGCCTTTAATACTAACTTGAATTTTTATTAAAATTAATTAGTCAATTATTTTTTATATTTGATTGTAATGTAGAGACAAGGCTTTTAGTGACAATCATGTATTGCCTTACAATTATATGTAAAAAAAGAAGAAAAAAAAGTCTAAATATGATATTTGGCCTCAAATCATCTGAGGCCTGGCACCCCCCCTGCGATCTTTGGCGCCCCCCAGGTTGGGAACCACTGGTCTAGAAGTCTTCTCATCAGGGCTCTATAAATAGAGAACTACGGCAGACATGTAATATGTAATGCAGCCGAACCGTGTATTACAATGCCGTTATGTGATGACTTTCAAAGAGAAAAGCAAGCACACTCGGAATAAAGTATTATTTTTAATTTTTTTTTTCGGATTTCACATCGCATAAACACCAAATCCCAGCGTGCATTGCGGCTAAACCATCCAATCATCGAGCTGAGGATCTTGCCTACGTCTGTTTCCGGTTTCGTTTATGACGGATGTATTTTGTTATACACACAGTCCTTCACATTTACATTTTTATTGACATTAAAGTATTTCGTAAGGCCTTCTAACATGTTTTAAAATATAACTACGGTTGTAGTTGAAGAGTTTGTAAATTAACATGAACCGAATCCACACGCACGGATTAACATCGATTTAATACATGAATGTAGCCTTTGTTTCTGCTAAAAGAGGTGTCGACCAGCTGGGGCAACAAGAAAATCGGCGTAATCGAGTGTGACTATAAAAAAATAAATCATTATTATATTAATATTGACAATAACAACCGACCGTCGGGGAGCGTTTGCTTGGCATTTCTGGGTATTTCTCCACTGGTTAACATGGGTTAACAATACCGTGTAGCTGTCACGTTTGAAGGGATGAAATCGTGACATCTTCACGTCTCCCAGCATGGTAAATCGTCACATGTTCACGTCTTGCCGTGATACCGGGTTGGATTTACAATAGTCGAAAAGTTCCTTAAAGGCACTGTTTACCAGGTAAGGTACTCTGATGGAATAAAAGGCTTTATTTACATTGATCCTTAAAGTGCAAACATGCAAAGAGCAGATAGCAGCAAAGCACATCTTCATCAAACAAAGTGTTGTTTATTCAGCGCATTTTAAGGTTGAAGGCACAATGAAGAGTGAGTGAGTCCATCACTATGAAAGAGAATTCATTCCTCCTTTCCACACATGCCATGAAGATATATTTTACAACACAGTGTAATAAGCTATCTGAGTTTGCCAAATCAAATCTTTGTCCCACTTCTTCTTCTTCTTCTTCTTCTTTAGCTTCTGGTAGGCGTAGTCTCGGTCTGGGGCGGATGTGAGGTGGAGGCGGCGGAGGAGTGAGAGTATTGAGAGCGTTATGAGGGCTGGTAGGATGATGCTAGGAGGCGGGAGGAGGAGGTTATCGGCGCTTATTCATTAGGCTGTCTCGAGTGATCTTCTGGATGCTTAGGATTATTCTCTTAGTTGCGGAATTCTGCTTCGTTCTTAGTCTGCTTCTGCGTTATGTCTGCGTATGGTTTTCTCTTCTTCTTCTTCTTCTTCTTCTTCTTCTTCTTCTTCTTCTTCTTCTTCTTCTTCTTCTTCTTCATTGCTGGCGTGGTATCAGAGCACCATATACTACATATCTGCCACAGGTTACCAATCACCGGTGTCCAGAAAAAAGACTCGAAGAAAACCACTTTCTCTGGCAAATTCACACTGACAAAACCTTGTAGCATCAGCAACGTCACACTTTGATGTTCCGTGTTTTAAATAGTTTTCAGTAGTTTGCAAAAGTTCTGTGCTTTGCTTCTTTAGCAATCAGCTTGACAGTGGCTTCAATTTCTTCAATTTGTCTGCGATATTGTCTGCATAGAGTGTATGTGGTATGTGCGTGATGTTTTTCCTATTTCTGGATAAATAGATCACAGGAAGGTAATCAGATTAGGGCTGTCAGTCGATTAAAATATTTAATCGCGATTAATCGCATGATTATCCATAGTTAATCGCAAATTAATCGCACATTGTTTTATCTGTTCTAAATGTACTTTAGAGGGATATTTTTCAAGTTTTGAATACTCTTATCAACATATGAGTGGACATGTGCTTTATGCAAATGTTTGTTTATTATCATTTGAACAATGACAAATATTCTCATGAATATTAAACACAACAACCTCTGAACATTACAAATATTCGCCTCAATTCAACCTGGAACCTCTCTCATACAATACAATAATACAATATAGTGTGTGTGTTTGTGGAGAGACACTGTGATGGATCATTGGAGCTATGTGCAACTCAAGGCATATGCTCGAACGGGAGCTGCCTGGACGCTGCAATCATGTTGCAGCGAGTGTGCTGACTTTTCGTACAATGTCCCACTGTCTGGCTACCTGCATAAAGTCAAGTGCTCGGCGCAGTTGTGGGAGAAATATCGCTCCTTATATCCGTTAGCGCAGCTAGCTAGCACCAGATGCTAACAATAATACACGTAAGGTGTGCGCGTTCTCTCTCACTCGCTCGCGCCACACATACACACACCCTCCCGGTCCTCCCGATGGCCAGTCGGTGCCTGCCGGTGAGCGTGGAAGTGTGGTCTGCCGCAAGCGGGCGCAGGAGTGGGTCTGTCATTATCAGCTTGTAGATGGTATTTTAAACTCGATGCGCTCTGAAACTACGGGGCGGCCGAGGACAAAAAAAATAAATACACATGCGTTAATCGCGTTAATCTTTTTTTGCGTTAACGCGTTATTAACGCGTTAACTTGACAGCCCTAAATCAGATATCTGTAAGGTGTCAGTAGGCTCTAAAATAAGTGCTGGTTGGATTGTCAAACAGCATCTAAAAAAAAAAAAAACCTGTTCCACAACCTTCTGATGTACAGATTGACATGCTGGGATACTTCTGAAAATGATTGAAATGGATAATCTGACCAATGTGGCAACTTCACACAACCAGTCTTTCTTCCCACAACTAATTATGTGTCTTTTACATGAACTACTGGAGGAAATATCCTAAACTTCTCATGGAAAGATGTCCAACATTTTCGACTTTATCCTCACTGGTTTGTAATTCAACCACAGCAGTCTGGTCTGTTTTCAAACCTTGGCTGGTACAACTTTAAAACAAGTTCATTTATGAAGGCTGACAAAATGTTTTTTGTTTCTATTGATTGGTGAGTTTTTAGTTTGTCAAGAGTGTTGACCAGTGTCCAGGTAAGCATGACCTACCAGTATCCATTGGGCCTGTCACAAAGATAATGTGTGCGTCTTATCAGGGGACAAACAGCTTGGGCTGGATGCACATTACTAGATTTCCTTTAGGCCTGTCATTATAGATAAGTGTTTGACGAGTTTGTCGGTGTCAGACAATAAGGCAGAAGATCGGTAGCCAAAAAACAGATGGATGACATTATACAGACAGTTCAACAGAAGTCTTTCACATATTAGCACATTCTAGTTGTTAGGCTTCTTCCTCATCACCACCCTGTGAGCTGCTACAAAGACTTTATTTTAAGAGTCTGCTGCAGCGACACACTCAAATGATTCAACACTGTTTGACCGTACAATAAAAAACTAAATCGAACTACTTCTCCCAAGTGGTTATTACCTTTCCCCACCGACCCTATATGTTGGAGCAGATAGAGGATCTGATTTTGGCATCAGTCCATGGTATTCGTCTGTTGTGGGTCATCGTGGACAGCCCCACCAGTGCCAGGGATTGAAGGTGGTGGAGCTGTGGGAGAACTGCGAACAATGGAACGGGATTGAGCTCAGGATTTGTTCCTGTCCTTTTTAGTTATCCATCATGCAGTTCACTGAATCCTCATCTGCCCTAGAACCCAAGTTCACACAGATAACTACTTCGCACAAAATACGGCGGCATATATCATCACTGTTGTTTGACAAGCATACACCTCCAAAATGAAAGGCTACAAATGTCCAGTCAAAGCATACCCTATACTTTATGTTGCTCAACTACTTGGTCAAAACAGAGATATTTGAACAACTATCGTAAAGATCGCCATTAAAAAAAAAATAAGGATTATTCCTGAGGTATCCCCTGATTTGGCCTTTCTTTTTGAAGTAACATGTCTTGCCATCTACTGGATGGATTGGAACAAAATGTGGCACTTATGTTCATGGTTCCTCGACCATGTTACATTACATTACTTGTCACTTGTTAGAGGCTTTTATCCAAACGTGACTTACCCTAATCCCTACAGGACCAATATGGTTTGAAGTGTCTTGCCTAAGGACACAACGACATGCTGAATGCAGTGGAGATTGAACCATTGCCCTAAGTCAATGGAAAAAAACAAAACATTTTGGGACCAAAGACGTCATGGACTGACACAGGAGTTTTAGTACCACCGTTTGGCCACTACGAAAATTTGCTTCAATGTCCGGTGCATTTTCTTGGTTTAGTCACCTAGGGATTTACCATGCCTTGGAAACACAACATTAGTGAGGAGGGTGGGTGATCCCAATGCTAGGTGTGAGAAATTCTTAGAAATTTTGATTACAAAAACAAAAAAATAATGCATTAATAAAATACAATTAAAACGAGCTGTATATTTGTCCATGTTTGACTGTGCATGCTGCTGTACCGTATCATAAAGGGTATGAGATCGTAAACCCAATCAAGGCTGAGAAGAACAGAGTTGTTGTTTAATCATGTATTTCTAAGGTGTCTAAGAAAGTACAGTTGCCCAGTCTCCATTCCACAACCTCTTCACTGTGTTAAGTCTCCTAAAGTCCAACTCTTCTGTTTGTTTTAGGTGCCTATTGGGACAGACACAGATGGCATGAACATCCTTGGTCTGGTGTTATTTGCGATGGTGTTTGGCGTGGCGTTGAGGAAGCTGGGAGAAGAGGGGGAGGAACTCATCCGTTTCTTCAATGCTTTCAACGAGGCCACCATGGTGCTGGTGTCCTGGATCATGTGGTGAGTGAAGTGGATTGCATGTGGGGTTCCAATGATATAAATAGTCATGGTACATTTGTACTGTATTGGATGGAATTTTGTGATAACACTCAACATGTAAAAGGTTGTATGAGGTAGGCACTGACTGTCTGTGCCTACCTTGTTAATGTTATCATCCAACATTCTAAAAGCCTTCCTCCTCCTTTTTCTTACCTCTTGTGTCTCTCAGGTATATCCCTTTTGGCATCATGTTCCTTGTGGGCAGTAAGATTGTGGAGATGGAAGATGTTGGTCTTCTGGTCACTAGTCTGGGAAAATATATCTTTGCTTCGATCCTGGGCCACGTTATCCACGGCGGCATCGTCCTGCCCCTCATCTACTTCGGCTTCACACGCAAGAACCCCTTCAGTTTCCTGTCAGGCCTCATCACACCCTTCACCACGGCCTTCGCCACTTGCTCAAGGTACAGTATAACATCACGTCGCAGGGTCCCAGATGACCATAACTCAAACGGAAAATAAGTTCTGCTTTTTAGTAATAGAGTGGTGCTTTAATGAGTCTAGAGCAGGGGTGGGCAAACTTTTTGGCTCGGGGGCCACTATGAGTTTTAAAATTTGACAGACGGGCCGGGCCAGTAGCAGATCGGTAAAAAATATTTAGCTGTCCACTCCTCATTATACACTCGGCACTCAATGTTGACTTTTCTTTTCTTTGGTCCACTCATTGTTACAGATGCAGGTTCAAAGGTGAATCAGGTTCAAATGTGAATTATTGCGTCATTGCGTCATCGTTTGCGTCATGACGTAACAGTTTACGTGCCTTCTTATGACCCACACAGCGTTTTACGTCGCTGATTTTCTCCGCAACACCGCTCACAACAACATCAATAGAGGACTGCGTCGGGTAGTTTTTAATTATACGAAGCCAGATTCAATTAAATAACTACTTCTCCAACCTTGTACCTTTCTCCAGAGTGCCGTGGTGCATTGTTTATTATTGTGGTTCAGCTGCATTACCTTCTGCTGCAGTGCTGCTCGTCTACCGGAGTTTATTCTCCCGTTAACTCGCGGCAGCGGCCGCTGTAAAGTTTTCTTTGTCTGACTGTCACACAAGCAGCTGATAAATATCCCCATCCCCATAAGTGAATGTGTTTTAGTCTGAAAGCTGTTTGGCATCACAACGCTGTTATGAATGTTTCTCTGGCATTCTACAGGTGATGTTAGCACAGCAACCAAAGCTAATCTGACTATCTTGACTACTTGTTGCTATCATATTGTGGCATAAGCCGTTTTCTAGACACATATTTTACTGGCGTAGTTTTCGTTATGATTTTACTTGTGATGGCCACATGTAGCCCATGTATTGATTCCATCCGATAGCTGCAATAATACAAAACAACAGGAAAAGGTCTGCCTCTTGGTCAATAACAGTGAACGGATGGTTATTAAAGTAAGGTAAAATAAACTGAATCACACTGAGCCTGGTTAGTGTTGCCTGACTTTATATAAGTGTTTTTTATAAATGTGTGGTCGCGTTCTAGTCACTTTGCTCAGCGCTACTGCTTGTTACAACTTGTATTCGCCGATCTTGCCAGGTTGCCGAGTGGGGCCAGCTGAGAGAATAGACCAGACTCCAGCAAAGGTAAATTGTGTCTAGAGTGCGCCATCTTGTGGGATCAACTGAAATGCCGGGTATTGCAGGAAAAAGGCAAAATGAATGCGGTCTTTACTATAATTTGGACAATTTTGTACCAATATTCGGCAGGCCGGATTCAAAAGCCCAACGGGCCGTATATGGCCCGCGGGCATTAGTTTGCCCATGCCTGGTCTAGAGTCTAGGTTCCCTCGTCTAGAAGTCAATGGTTTTTTGAACGTATAATAGTTGTGCAGTTAGAAGCCTGAAATAACATATTTGAATAAGCTAACAGGACTTTGACATTTTGTTCTACAACATAAAATACGTCAGTATATATACCCCTCTCATTAATGTCCAAAGTTAGCATTTTAATTTAGCCAAATTCAATTACGCCTCAAAATCTAAAAGTTATGTTAATATGTGGAGATAATCCTGCTAAACAAAACAAGTTAGGTATCACAAATGTGTGTTAGCCACAGAGCTGATTTTCTGCAATATACCGACATCCAATAGGTTTGTATAGCCCTTTAAGGAGCCCTTGTAGGGAGTGTCACATTCTTTGAACTGTATGTTATTCAATTGTAACTATTAATGGTATTGGTTTTAATTGGCTGATAAAGTTGCAATGGTTATGCTGTATCTCTATCTGTTTTTCTCATCAGTTCAGCAACTCTTCCCTCCATGATAAAGTGTATCGAGGAGAACAATGGAGTCGACAAGCGCATCAGCCGCTTCATCCTTCCCATTGGGGCCACTGTCAACATGGACGGAGCAGCCATATTCCAGTGCATCGCTGCTGTCTTCATCGCTCAGCTCAACAATTATGAGCTGAACGCTGGACAGATATTCACCATCCTGTGAGTTCAGGGAACGATAACAAGTTTTCTTCCTATTGCTCAGCATGAGAAGAAAACACATACCAAAATCCACATTCCATTGATTTGTTCTTACATTGAAAAGTCTGCTTTCTGTTCCATGCGTGTTATTAGTAGTAGTTCATATAATTATTTCATCATTATTCCTAGTGTGACAGCTACAGCCTCAAGTGTGGGCGCAGCAGGCATCCCAGCTGGCGGCATCATAACCATCGCCATCATCCTGGAGGCCATCGGCTTGCCTACCAACGACCTATCACTTATGCTGGCTGTTGATTGGATTGTGTAAGTAAAGCCTGCAAATAACAACTGAAATTAGTATTAAAAAACACCCAGAGCTACGTCTGATCATGTCTGTAAACAAGTTACCAACATTACGGTTAGTTTAACTAGACCAGGGTTCCTGGGAAACCTGAACAATCTGTTGTACTTGTACTAGCTTGCCTTCCTGGAGTAGAGAACACACAACAGCAGCATGATAAACATGTGCACGTTACTACTTAACCACCTCTGTGGAGATTCCAAGCAGGCTGAGCCCAAGCCCTCAAGAAGAACCAATTTTCATATTGGTCAGATTAGGCAATTACAAGTTAATTAATGGCAACCTGCAGTTGGTCCATTGATGAGGTGCAAACGTATCCCTGTTTGGTTGTCAATGGGAGGATTCAACACATTTATTGTTGAATGATTTGAAGGCAGTTTGATGTGATGGCGCCACGGTAGTCAACTGAGCTACACGTAGTTGTACAAACCGTTGCTATCTTCAGTCAACTCGAACTTGGTAGAGTGGCATGGAAAACAAAACAGAGGAAAAGACTGGGTACCAATAGTTAGTTGTAGGGTTAGTAGGGTTAGTATGGAGCCCCTGGGGACATGAAAAGAAAAAAAAACAGAGAGAAAAAAAAAGTCAGGATAACGGGTTAGTATCTCGTGCGCACAAGATACTAACCCGTTATCCTAACCCGTTATCCTAACCCGTTATCCTAATGTTTTGTTTTTTTGAGAAAGTTACCGGTGCGCCAAGGAGAAAGTGGAGCACACAGGAAACAACCATTTAATTGCAGACTGTTATGTTTACGTGGGGAAATGATAGTGCATACATTATTTGAGATATATTTCGTACTCAGACTTCACTTTAAGGACATTTCGGCCAGGTGTGTGTGGTCACTCCAGGAGGCAGTGGGACGTGTAACTCAGAGAAGAGCAGCACCAGCGCTCAAAGAGCTTTTACGCACCGGAGCCTCGCTGCGGAGAAACGGTGGACCTAGTGGCCCGATCGGAGTGGGCCGAGTGGCCGGACCGGCCCACTTCGGTACCGGCCCATTGGGATTCGTCCCGATGGCCAGTCCGCCACTGGCTCTGTGTGTGTGTGTGTGTGTGTTCTGAGTGTTTGTTTCCCTATAAAACAGCTGCGGGCAGCAGGTACTCTGAGAGTCACGGACATTAATTCATAGATCAGAGCAGACTGGTTTACAGACTCTCCTGTTTTGCAAATCCGGTGCTTAAACAAATAGCTCTACAACCCTGGCCGAAATGTCCATAAAATTAAGTCTGAGTTTGAAATATATCTAAAATAATGTATGCACTGTCATTTCCCCACGTAAACATAACAGTCTGCAATGAAATGGTTGTCTCCTGTGTGTTACACTTCCTCCTTGGTGCATCGGTAAGTTTCTCAAAAAAAAAAAAAAAAGTCAGGAAAACGGATCAGTTTCTCGTGCGCACGAGAAACTGATCCGTTTTCCTGACTTTATTTTTGTTCTCATATTTTTTTTTTATGTCTCTTAAAGGTGGGGTAGGTAAGTTTGAGAAACCGGCTCGAGATACACTTTTTGTTATATTCCATGAAATGCTCTTAACATCCCGATAGCAATGAATATTATATATTATATAAGTGCTTTGACAAAAAATCCATAAAAAAATGTCATCTGTGGAAGCCGTAGTACTGTAAAAAGCACGACCAATCATTTTAGCCGGCCCGGCTAAAATAACTGGATAGCCTACCTGCCTATCAGCCTTCCATCTGTGCACAAACGTATGTGTGTTGGAGGAGGGGCTCTGTAAGGAAGTGGCAGATATTCTCAGGCAGTGTATTTTCAAATTCTAGCGCACTCGAGCTGGTTTCTCCAAAATTACCTACCCCACCTTTTAAACCGTTATCCCGACTTTTTTTTTTTTCTCTCTCTCTTTTTTTTTTTCCATGTCCCTTTTGGGCAGGGGTGCCCAACCTTTTTTGAACCAAGAGCTACTTTTAAAGTTGCCAGTCTGCCGAGATCTACCAATCCACATATGCGGCTTTCACACCAGCGCTTTTCCCTTTCTAGCTCCGAGCGGGAGCTTTTCTGGTTCCGCTCCGGTTTCCATTTTCTGCTCCCGCTCTGTTCACACCGCCCAAGAGCTGCCGGTGCTGCGTCATGACGTCACCGTTTATGTGCCTGCTTCATAAAATCCAAACCTCGCGGAAATCCCTCACATCGACAACAACAACAATGGCCGATTGTATTGAAGCGCTGTTCGCTTTGGTTATCCTCTTACAAAACGAAATGGAAGGCATCGGACGACTTTACAAGGGACGACTTTACTTGGAACTTTACAAACATCACATGCGAAATGCAAGACTTCTTTGTGGTCTTCAGCATCTACTTCAACGACGAATCTGCCCCTGCCCCCGCCTCGACGTAAGAGAGACGTAAGCGACGCCGCCTCTTAGCTGCGAAGCTCTTGCCTAGACCGACAATTTTTTGGAGCTGGAAGTGAACCGGATTCCGGAGCTAAGAGGCGGCGCATCTGCGGTGTGAACAGGAAAAACCGGTACTTTTCAGGCTCCAGCTCCGAGCCGGAGCTGAAAACGTGTTGGTGTGAAAGTGGCAATAGAGAGGGGGGGGCTGGGGTGCTAGCGAACCGTCAACTGGGGGGAACCTAGCTGCGGGGTAACGGCAGACCTCTGTCGGTACAACTTCAATGATGCCTTTTAAAAACATAAGAAATTAAGGGCGATGACGGCCGTCAGCGAATCGAGCCGGCCCTTGACAACCGGCTGTTCTGTGATTCTCCAGATTCTACGGAGGGTAGAAAATACATACCGGAAGTAAAAAAATACGTGCAACGGGATGGTGTTCCCGCGGGAAACAAAACTTAAAATATTAAATGAAACAATCTCATCTCTTAAAATTCACAACTTATTATGAATTAAACATTCATTATTATGAATTAAACATTCAACTTATAATTATGTATTCACATGTTCAACTCTGTTACATATGCACGCAACAAGAAATAAGAAAATAATAAGACAAATCAGAAATAATGCTTGAAGTGGTTGGGAACATAATATGGCATTTAATCAAGGCAGCGTTTAGCTGAGTTTCTCCCGGTAGAAAACTCTCTTAACAGGGGAAAGCTGCTTGATGCTACAAAGGGGCGTGGCTAGCAGCAGCTGTTCCATTTAAAGCTATGGTCACAGAATCAGCCTTTTTGGAACAGGGCTGGAATAGAGGAGAATAGAGGGGTATGAGGCATGGCTACAATGGATGATCTGTTTGGTATTTTAAGCCAAAAAACTTCACATACATGTTTTGTATAGGTATGGCCTTACAATATATTTTTTCAAATATAGCATAATAGGTCCCTTTTAAGGTACACCAAACTCAGCTGTCTGTCTCTTACTCCTACTACAGGGATCGTACCACAACGGTGGTGAATGTGGAAAGCGATGCTTTGGGAGCTGGAATCCTCCACCACATCAACCAACAGGAAATAAAGAAGCAGCAGGAGCGGCAGCAGCAGGATGGGGAGCTGGCTGAGGTCCGGGTGGAGGCGGTGGCCAATGCCCAGGCGGAAGAGGAGACCTCCCCGCTCGTCGCACACCAAACCAAAGCCTCAGCGGCCATGCCGGAAGCCATTGAGTCTGTCTTGTAAAATGTGCAAGACTTTTCTTTCTTGCTTCCCGACCTTTCACTATTTCTGATGATGCTGCTGATGGGACACCATTCTCACTCAGAGTCAATTCAAAAACACAAGGTCACTGATGGATCACTTGGAGGGAAAACAAAGTGCCATAGCAACAGTCTTTCTAGAGCATTGACAGTATACAGTGTATCTACTTGGTTAAAATAACTGGGTTTACTGCAGATTAGGATATAATGAATTTCAGAACTATTGCTTTTTAAAACATTTCCCCAGTCTAGTTTTTAAAAGAAATCACTTGAGGTACTTCTGTTTGTATTTTTTACATTTTTTACGTATTTTGCGAAAGTCAGTAAGGGAAACATTTGATGTGTATCAATATCCCCAAAACATTCCCATAAATGTTGTAGTTGTGTTTGTCTGATGTAATGAGATGCTCACAGCCATACGTTTGTACATTAGAGCACCTCAAGTGTATTTATCTGTTTTTATCTTTAGACAGCAAATACAACGGCCAACATAAACTATAGAACACTAACAACCAAATGCTGACAAGCCAAAGTGTCTAACACATGCTTGACAGTGTCTGTCCTAACTTATTTACACGTTCAGGATGCCTGTTTAATCACTTTAACTTAGCTGGTGGAAACGTACTAATTTGCATTTTATTTTTTCAATGAATTCGCTTTACGTTCTTTGCCTAATGGAAACGTCAGTTTGATTCTTTCAAAGTCAGAATATTGTGAAAAAGGGAACTGTTTGGTCCCCATTTTAGAAATGGTAGTTTGTCATAGTTCAGTGAGATGTTTACAAGATGTTCCTAATTTGCTGACTGTCAGCAGATGTCAAACATTAACCCTTCAAATCAAAGGCTAAGCATTTGGCCTCATGCAACCTGTTTATCTATTGACAAACTCTTCCCGTTTGGTAAGACATTTTGAACATTGGACTATTTGGTAGCCTTAGCCTACCATGGTTTTAAATCAGAAAAAGCCAACTGACAACTTTATAAGGTAACTTACTTTACCTTCGGTGGTCTCCTATCTGATATGAGTAGCATTTTTCAAGCATGCTTCTCTAATTATATTATGAAAGCAGTTTAGAACACTTTCCTTTAGACATTTGCTCCTAGAGGCTTTTTAAGAATCGACTAATGGCCACACGCAGCAGTTTTGGTGAGCTAGCTATCTAATTTTTTATAAGCTAGTTAGCTATGCAAATGTTTGCGTGTGGACATATTTGTTACCCTTTTTGTTACTACATCATTGTGTAACTTATCAAAAAGTAATTGTAGCTTTGTAGCTAATTGCTTTTGATAAAAATGTTATCAACAAGTCTGAAAAGTGACTTTTCCCTTTTGGATGCAAGACTTGACTGAAAGAATTAGCCTTTGCTTCCCTCTAGTGGTGATATTAGGGGGAAAATAGTAAACTGAGCCATTGTCGGGTCAACACTTGAGAGTTCAGCAGGCTTTGTCGTTACATAACTCGTAATATTTCCTATTTATTTAATCTTTTATTTAACATTCATGGGGAACAACTGCTCCATTGCAGAGTCCTGTGATTTAATACTGTATTTTTGGGTAAAGACCCCTAAAAAGTTGAAGGAACATCATGAAGCTAAATGTATGTCGCTGTCCCCTAACGTCTGAGGTGCTCATTATGACGCAATAATACTGCTTTAGTTTTAGTGTGTATGTTGATACTGTGAAAACTAGTATGTTGAACATTTCTTACTCATTAATTCAGATTTAACTGATTACTTTTTTAAGCTAACCACTGCTCTGTTAACCTAAAGCTTTATGGTTAGATTTTCTTAAGTATATCTGGTACAATCACATGCAATTACATTTAATGTGTACATGTACTATATATTTTATATTAATTTATTTTAATTGTTTCGTATTATTTGTACTTTCTCTTATTAACACCCTCAGTGTTGATTATTTGGTACCACTTTATAAGACTACCCTTATAAAGGGTTTAGGAATAGTTTGTAATTCATTTATTAATTAGGTTGTGAACACTTTATAAGTCATTAATAAGCTTTTATAAGACATGAGATAAACAGGGCAACTGTGACCGGTTGCTTGCCAAATAGTGAGCCCACATTTATCTGTACTGCTAAGCCTTATATACTTAGCTACTTTGTCTTCTTCATCAGCCAGCATCCTTGGTATCTGTTGTTCACTGAGTTGATTCTCGCTAAGTAGCCAATATAAGGCTTAGCCATCTTGCTAAATAGTGAGCCTGTGTTGATGTATGGAAACTGTTAGAACTGGTTTATAAATGGTTCTTAATGATTAATAAAATGTTTACAACCTAATTATGAGCCTTTATAAGGGTAGTCTTATTGTAAAGTGGTACCGATTATTTTTATCATGATACATTTTTTAAAGGTCCCATGTGATGGCCATTTCTACTGATCATAATTCCACTGTTGAGGTCTACTAGAATATATTTATATTGTGCAATGTTCCAAACTCACATTGGTTTCTCATACAGCGTCTCTGTATAGTATGTGTATTCACTCTCTGTCCTACACGCCTTGTTGGAGCTCCTGCCCCCCCCCCCCCCCCTCCCTGTGAGCCCACTGTGCTCTGATTGGTCAACTCGCCCACTCTGTTCTGATGAGTCCACCACCGGTACAGCGGAACATCAGTGATTATGTGTTACAATGGCGTTAGCAGCCAGAAAATGACACCAGTAATGACAAAGTAGTGTTGGCGGGACGTTGCGAGGCTCGCTGCTGCGAGGAGCGGACAGTGTGAGCTGGCTTACTGGTGTGGTTTCCTGGTTGCTGCGTGGGGTCGGCGAGACAGCGAGACACAGCGAAACCCAGCCCGAAACCAGCCCGAACACACACACGCAGCCTGGCTGTGAGTCTGTGTGTGTGCTCCGTGCTCACACACAGACTCACAGCCTCGCCGCGTCCCGCCGTCTCAGGCTGAGAAATCCGCGGAGCTGCAGCTGAGAAAAGATTGAGTGTGTGTGTGTGTGTGTGTGTGTGTGTGTGTGTGTGTGTGTGTGTGTGTGTGTGTGTGTGTGTGTGTGTGTGTGAGAGGAAGTCCACGGATTGGTCCATTTGGACCAATACGTCACTGTACCCAGGAAGAAAAAAAATGGAAAAAGAGAAATCTCCAACGAGGTGTTCTGGGGCAGCATAGACAGGTCTTCTCTGTGTTAGAGTTGTACTCCCTACAGGGTGTACTTTGAAGGTTTGTGACTCTGCAGACCGTTTGCATGCAGAAAAAGCTACATAACACACAAGGGGACGGGTAATAACCAGAAAAGCATGACATGGGACCTTTAATGAATTATTCTGCCAGTGTAATTTAATGTTAGGGATGTATTTTAAATCCTTGTGTGTTTTTTTGGTTTGAATCTGCCTGTGCCATGTCCATGTCTAACACTGCGGCTGTGTCTTTGCTGTTGGTCCCGCTGTCTTTCAACATTAAAGGTGATGCAGTACATTTATCATGCAACCAAAATGAAAAGGCTGATCTTGTTTTTATCACTTATTATTCAATGTAACACAAACTATTTGCCTGATTGCATGCAGCTGAATGAATAAGAGGCCTATTAAAGGCTTTATTAAGGCTCAGCCTTAAAAAATAGTATACAATATCTCAAATTTCCGTTTTTTTCCTGTGTAATGACACAAAAAAACGGAAATTTGAGATATTGTATACTATTTTTTTTTTTTTTATTTCAACATTTTACACTCCCTTACCCTTTTTATATTTATATAATATGTATATTATCTTTTAATTAATTGTTTTCCTTTTTTTTTCCATTTATATAATATACATATATATATTTTTTTCTTTTTGTTCTACAACAATGCAAGTGTCACAAAAAACTATTTTCCACAGGATAAACAAAGTATTGTTATAATATTTGTTTTAATGTATTATTATTATTTAGGTACAATACAACTTGTACCTAAATAATACACTAATGAATCTGATAATGTCCTCTATCCAGTTAGTTACTGCTTCAAAGTATTATAGGGATTGTCTGTTAAGTACAGACACATGCAGACAGGTGGATAACTTTATGTATGAATGTTTCCCCTGCCAAAGTTGAAAAAGCACTTTGCAATATTAATGCACTAATGCAGCCAATAATGAGTTTTTCTTCTAGACTTTTGAACGGAACAGCAAAGTCCAGAATGTGTGGGCTTGTTTTGTACAGCTGTGACTGTCTGCTATTCTCCCACAGCCATGCCACCAGTCTACTGCTCCTGTTATACTTAGAGGCTTATCACAGGTGGAAAACGTGTGCCAACTACAAAAAAGGCAGAGTTCCTTATCGCTAACAGAGTTGAACAAGAACGAAATACTGCAGGTGACCTTTTAAATAACTGCCTCCTGTTTTGATATTAGATCAAATGGTTTGAGTTGTTTCTTATATAAAATTCCCTGATTGAATCCAACTTCTTAAACATGTCCTGGTTTCTTCACTCATCCATGACAGTAAATGAAAGCTTTAGCGCAAGTTCAATAAGGAAGACCTAACTCGAGTCACTCACACGTCACTCTATGGCTCCCTTCCCCCCTCATTAAATATGAGGGCGTCACGCCTCAGCAGCCAATCGCTGCACATGCTAAATGCCTTAAATACCTGCTCTTCCTCCCTGTCAGTTGTCATTGCAGATGATCACACGCAATGGTAGTTGCAATACAATACTGCTTCTCGTGAGAAAAACCGTAAGAAACAACTAGCTCAAGATGTCCAACTCGGACAATTCGGAACACGAACCTTCTCTGGAAGTCTCCGATCCCGGTTCGGCTCCACACAGCGGCTTATCAACAGAGGAAGACTTCCTCATCGCCGGGCTCCTGCAGCAGGGCTTTCCCACAGCCCCAGGCCTCACTCTCTCAGCGGCGATAGCTCTCGGACCAGGTCTCCAGCGTAGCTCCCCAGTCCGGGGCAGCAGCTCCAGCCAGCTTCCCAGAGAGCAGGACGAAGCCGCAGCCGCGGAGGTAAAAAAAGGGCAGGAAGTCGAGCCCTCCAGGATCCCGTCCCCCTCCAAAAAATCCACCCCTTCTCAGGCTCGCCAGTCCGGTAGCGTCACACACCCCTATGGAGAGTAGCGCGGCCGGCTCCCTGCAATCCCTGGCTAGCTCCATGATAGCTATCGATGCTCGCCTCCAGGCTCTGGAAGACTACGCCACAGGAGCTTCAACTTCCGTTGCACTCAGGTACTAGTTTTAACGAAAACGTTTGCACTCGACCCTTACACAGGGTTGGGTTGTAACGGAATACATGTAACGGTGTTACGTAATCAGAAGAAAAATAAAGAAAGAAAAAAAAAAAAAAAAAATCAGTATATTCAGCGGTGTTACATTTGAAAAACGATTAAACTGAGTGCAGTTACTCTCGTAAACCTGAAGTGAATACTTATTGGAATTATTGGTGGAAAGTTTCCTCACAATGTAATATTCATTACCGGCAGAACCGTGTGCACAGCGCTGCAGCGTATCTGCGAGCAAGAGATGCAGCGTGTCCGTGAGGCCCCGCCCCGCACGCAGATGAGAGAGAGAGAGAGAGAGTTCTCTTTCAAAACATATTGGAAGGTAGAAACGGAGATGTTTAGATAAAACGTGGAAGATAACGTTTATGTAGCATTTATTTATTGTCGGAATGATGACATTCATAACGGGATCAAATCTAACTGAATGGCCTGCTGCTGCCGAATGCATGGGACAAGTAACTGGGAAAAGTTTTAAAAGTGATTACATCGTTGCAGATAATAAATAATAATGATAATGTATTCTATTTAGGGGCGCCTTTCAAAGCACCCAAGGACACCTTACAATGCATAAACTTTTCCAAGGAAAGGTTTTAAGACAGTACAAAGAATGCAGTCTGGGTGAGTTTTTCTTTTTATGTGCGGTGCAGATGAGAGAGCTGTCCAGAATGACACTAACATGTTGTGTTCGTGCTCTTCATAAGCCATTAAAACAGTAAAATACGTGTCTCCCGTTCACCAAAACATACCCATCTGTTATGGAAAAGAAAGTATTCTAAAGAGAAAGAAGAGGAAAAGATAGAAAGAAGAGGAAAAGGAGAAAAGATAAAAGAAGAGGAGGAAAGAAGAAAAAGAAGAGGAAAGGAAGTATTCTAAAAGTAATCTGCCACCGGTACCGGCGGGATCGTGGTTAGTTTCCGATGCGCAGAAGAAAATCTGGCCCACCCTATATTTTTACAGGCCCACCCTAAAGTAAATTTCTGCCTACGCTACTGGTCCGCACAGCAGCAACAACCAATCACATGAATCTCTTGCCCCCGACACACAAAGCAATAGCAATGTTAAAACTAAGTAAACT